AATTGCAGAAAATTCCAAGGAAAACTCAAAGTCTGTAACATGTATGTGTGCATTTTTGTCCAAATAAAGCAACATATTGACAAACATTTGAAGTGCCCTGTTGAATCAACGCTATAAAAATTTTTTTAATCCAAATCCATTTAATATTGTATATCACTGATCTTTATTTTTTCTTTTGCTTTATTCAAAGGAATAATTTTATATTATCCTGAGTATATCCTAAATGGGCACATATTAGATATGCAAGAAGCACTAATGTTTAGTAAAGGCAATTAAAAAACTAACTAGGTAAATGGCACTACTGTGTAGAGGGATCCTGCAACTTACTAAAACAAGGCAGGAGTATTGGCAGAGGTATTGGGTTGGTGGCTCCAGGAAATTTATCTTTAAACAAACTTTAGTCTTGTTCGATTACGATTGCCCCAGTTTGTTCGTGATAATACTATTTTCTGTTCTGTGTTTTTTCAGCTTCACTCAGAATAACAATAATGCTGTGCTCTGACTGGTTAGAGCAGCACTAATTGAAGTTCATTTGGGAAGCAAAGAGAAAGGGTGACATTGGCAGGACTGCTTGGCTTTAAGTTGACAAGTACATGAAGTAGAAAATAAGATATTTTCATTTTAAGAAATTTTTGTTATTTGATCCAATTTTTATAATTATGTTGTGGAATAATTCCAGTCAACTTTTAGAATATCAGTAATAAAAAATATATTGAATTCATACCTGCTAAGGAAACAAAAACTGAATGTGTGGTGATCATATAAAATTTTACTGTCTGTTTTAAAATAGCTTTTTATTTCATTTCCTAGATGACTTCTCTAGGTCATGTTCAGTGTCATTGAGGTCATATTCATCTTCTAACATACTTTATATTTCTCAGATTTTCAGTAATGCCTTTGTCTGGTTGTTTTGATACTCCTGGCTTCTTTGTGGTAACTGAGCCTTGGAATTTCTTGTCACATTCTTTCAGAATTTGAATAGTGCTAAGCAGCCTTAATCTTTTAATACCAGCTGCTGGGCTGGCAAGGTGTGTAGGAGCTTTATTTGTGACCTTGGCATCTAGATGGCAGTGGTAACTCACCATGTTATGTAGCACTGGTGTGGAATTGTTTTTGCCTAAATCTTGACTACAGGGTGAGAATGCACCACCAAGCAAATCTGAGGTCATATCATACACAGCTACTGCTTTGTTGTGTCATCTTTTTATTCAGTTAGTATTCCCGCTTGGAAATAAGAACTCTTATTGGTAAAGCCACATGTGAATATATGTTTTCAAGGTTCAAGGATGAAAGTTTGACATGAAATTTCACTTTCTTTTAATCTTATGGTTTATTATCTTTGATAGTTGTATTTGAACTCAAAGACAACTAAGCTTGATTCACAAAGCTTAGTAATTTAAAGGACTTTCGGGGATGACATTTTTGCACAGCACATAAGCTGCTATGTGAAGTGCCACCATCCCATACTGTAGTCATTCCCGGCTGCTCTGCTTCCAGTCCAACCCTCTGCTACCCAAATACTGAGCCATTGCTGCCCACCAGGGAGATTCGGATGGAGCTTAGGCTTCAGAGCAGCTGGCTTCAGCATAGCCCAGCCCTAGTGTTTCAGCCATTTGTGAAGTAAACCCATACATAGAAGATTGTTCCCATTCTATTGCTGTTCCTTTCAAATAAATAACTGTATTATTATTATTTATTTATTTCTGTTGTAAAGTCAGATTTACAGAGAGAAGGAGAGACAGAGAGAAAGATCCTAACTACGCTGGTTCACTCCCAGTGTGGCCAAAAGCACCAGAGCTGAGCCGATCTGAAGCCAGGAGCTTCTTTGTGGTCTCCCACTAGGGTGCAGGGTCCCAAGGCTTTGGGCCATCCTTGACTGCTTTCCCAGGCCACAAGCAGGGAGCTGCAAGGGAAGTGGAGCAGCTGGGATATGAATCAGATCCTCAAATAAATAAATCTTAAAATATAAGAAAAAATGGGAACAATGGTCTTACTTACTTTCCTGTAGCCCTTGACCCTTTGTAGCCTAATCAACATGTAAAAATTATAAAAATAGTAATAAAAAAGCCCACACACAAAAAAGTATACAAGAAAAGAGCATTCAACCTAGAGTTTGATTTAAATTCCCACTTACCAGCTCAGAACTGCCTCTACTTTCCCAATTTGTACCACATTCAGATCTGTTGTTAAGTCCTTTCCCTTTTCAAATGTACCAATGCTAGATTGAAATAGAATCAGCATATATTTGCTTTATTAGTTAATATGTGGGGGTTTTATTGCCCATCAGCCAAACACATACCTGCAAATTTGTGTGCTTTTGAAAGAAGGATTTTTTAAAAGATAAAGGCAGATTTTATAGAACAAGGAGGAGAGACAGAGTTTTCATCCATTTTTCACCTCCAGATGGTCACAGTGGCCAGAACTGAGCAAATCAGGAACCGCTTCTGGGTCTCCCATGTGAGTGCAACGACCCACCGAGCTAGCCCATCCTCCACTGTTTTTACAGCTCATAAACTGGAAGTTGAATCAAAAGTGGAGTAGCCGGGACAGGAGCTGGTACCTTATAGGATGCTGGTGCTGTGGGCAAAGGATTATGCAGGTGTGCCACCATACCATCCCCAAGAAGGGTCATTTTTTTCCCTCATTAGATTCTTCCATTTCTTTGTAACAGTCAAACTATCTTTATATGCAAAATCTAATTGTATGTGGCAGTTCAGTTTGACCAGAAAAAAAAATCAATTTTTTGTACTAAATAAGCTTTCTATTCCATTTTCCACAGACTTTTTGAAGTCTTATTGTACAGCATTTTATATGGCTTGTCCCAATATTTTTTGTAAGTAACTTCTAAAAATCATGCAGTTTGGGGACCAGCATTGTAATGTGTGGGTAAAGCCACTGAGTGCAATGCCAGCATCTCAAAGGGGTTTGTGTATTGGCTGTTCGACTTTGGATCCAGCTCCCTACTAATAACCTGGGAAAAGATGTGCGATATGGCCTACCTGCTTGGGCCTTTGCCAGTTGCATGGGAGGCCCAAATGGAACCCCTGGCTACTTTAGCATTCCAGCCATTTCCAAAGGGAATCAGAGGATGGAAGATCTGTTGTTCCTTCTTCCTGAAACTCTTTCAAATAAATTAATAAATCTTTTTAAGAAATAATTTAGAGCCCAGCATGATAGCCTAGCTGCTGAAGTCTTCACCTCACACATACCAGGATCCCATATGGGTGCCTGTTCATGTCCCGGCAGTCCCACTTCCCATCTGTTTCTCTGCTTGTGTCCTGGGAAAGCAGTCAAGGACGGCCCAAAGCCTTGGGACCCTGCACTTTCATAGGGGACCCGAAATAAGCTCCTGGCTCCTGGCTTTGGATGCAGCTATTTGGAGAGTGAATCATTGTGTAGAAGAATTTTCTGTTTCTCCTCCTCACTGTATATCTGACTTTCCAAGAAAAATTAAAAAAATATTTAAATTTGTAGTTTTCCATGCTTTTCTTAGAAAACTGAAATATACAAGTAATTCCATTTTTTCTACTACTAAAGAACTTTTAGAATGCAACGGACATTTATATTCCCAAGGTTGAAATATCACTTCCCTTTTCAAGCAGACTTTTCTTTAGTAATATAGTTTCCTTGTAATTAAAATTATAAGGATGCCACAAAGAGTTTAAAAAATTAGATTTGGAAGATGCTTGCAGTGTATATGCGCAGCCTAAGCCACCACTTAGGACATCCAGGTACTGGGTTGAACCTGGGTTCAATTCATGGCTCCCACCTGCAGTTCTAGCTTTAAACGAAAAAAGTTGTGGGATTTTGGGGGTGGAATAAGTTAAGTTTTTTTTTTTTTTGGAAAGGCAAATTTATATAGGACACATTCAGAAATATCTTTCATTCAATGGCCGCAGCAGAGCCCATCTGAAGCCAGGAGCCTCCTCCTGTTCTACCATGGGCACACAGGCTCACAGTATCGATTGGTTTGCATAAGAGACAGGACTGGAGAGAAAACTGTCCCAGCAATTGCGACTACCAGTGTGTGTAGGCTGATGTGGGGTGAGGGACTGAGCTGGGCCCCATATTGTCAAGCACACGTGAGAGTTAGGTCTGGGATCACTTCAGATGAGGTTTCTTGAACCGCTGGATTCAGAACTCCAACTCTGGGGACAATCACAAGATGTGTGGTCTGACCATCTAGTGCATGTGTTAGAAATGGGCCTCCTCAGTGGCTTAGATGGAGCAGTACAGCACTGCCAGATGCTCGTGGAGGATATGGTAGTCCAATGTGGCCTGCAGAGAATACCTGGTTCTAGGGCACAGGAAGGAGTGCAGACCAGATTGGACAACTACCTCAGCCAAACATTGACAGCAAATATCGGGGCAAATGGAGACTGTAAGAATGGATTGTGTCAGCAATGTATCATGGAAGGATTTCCTCATCCTTGGATCAGTGAGATCAGTAGCATTTCAGAACCATCGAAGCTACACGAGCAGAACCCTCAGAGCATGCTCCACAACAGGGACTCTGGGATGACATTGGGTGGCCCTTTCCCATCTCTGTGTACTGAGGCAATTGGAAGGTTGGGTGTGGTTTCTAACCTTATCCTCCCACTGTCCCCCAGACACAGGAAGAAGGAAAAGAAAGTTTGTAAACAGTGGTCGCACCCATTTTCTCCTAATCCTTGACCTTCCCACCCTGATCAACCATATAAGCATCATCAAAATAAAATTTAAAAAAAAATTTTAAAAGAACTGTTAGCAGCAGCCTGATTTTTTTTTATTGTTATCATGTGGATGGATAAGTGACTCCACTGTCAGACTAACTCTTGTTTTTTCAAAAAGCTTAATGTCACCACCACTACCCCGACCATGGCTGCATGTGCTCATGCAGGCAAATCAGAAAACAGCTAGGATGATAAAAATGTAACCCACTGGAACCTTAACTAGAAAATGAAAAGCAAAGCTCCAAAATGCTTCTCTTGTTAATATGTGATGGTTTTTGTGGTTTTCAGGGAGTCAAACCAGCCAGTTTTGACAAAGTAGCAATTCCTGAAGTAAAGGAAATTATTGAAGGATGCATAAGACAAAACAAAGATGAAAGGTAAGTTGCCTGTTTTGTAAGTAGCAATCAAGTCATTTATGTAATGTGGCTTTTTTTAAAAAGTGCTCTGACTGCTGAAGTTATTCAGACTTGGTATACTAGAACATAGTGAAATTGTTTGGGTGGGTGCTTTGCCTGAAGGTTAAGAGAGTAGTTAAACCTGTCATCAGAGTATCTTTTTCACTTACTGCATCAGCATAATTTATAAACATCAGTAGACATCAGTCTCTCATACAGCAGCTGTTCCTTTGTCTTTTACTAAAGATAAAGAAATCCAAAAGGTAAAATAAAAATTTCACTTTTTAAGTCAGCTATTTGTTTAGATCTTGATCTGCTGTCAATATGTCAGAATTGGGGAAGACTTCATCCAGAGACTTGGGAGGAAATCTGGCTTTGTTGTGTCAAGTAACAGAGGATTTCTTTCAGACTTGTGACACTATCTGATTTGCTGTGCAGCTGTTTCATCACCCATTTAGGCATGACAAGGGTCCAGCATCTATTTTTGAAAGATAGTCTACATTTATCATCCCAGTATTCTCTCTGGGAAGGGAAAAATAGACAAGTTAGTAAAAGCATAAATTGTAAATTGAGCTTAGTCTATTTCCTGAGGAATAAATACACTCAGATCTGCCAACGAAATTAAGCCTGTATCCTCATCCCTCAATTCTCGTATTCTTTTCTTAACTCTGTTATTTGGAAGAACTTACCATGGTCCTCTTTAACCTTTTACATAAAAAGTCTTTTTAGTAGAAATTTCAATGATTTTTTTTTTTTTATACATTGAATCTTTAAATCTCTTTCAGAACATATTCTCTTTTCTGGATGGTACAGCTAACTACATTACTGGCTTTTTCAAACCGTTTTGTCTAAAGATGATTGTTCTGTGATCAGTGTTCCTGCCTAACATGAATAGTTGACAAAAGGAATTGAAAAAATTTACTGGGTAAAGGCTGTTACTGTAGAAAGTACCAAAAGATTTGTTTTGTTTTGATTGTGCTAGCTACAGCGAACAAGAATGTCAGCATTCTTGAGCCTCCATTCCTAATCATGAGTTGATATTGTGACCATTATTGCTCAGGGATCAGAAATGATGATGCACACAGGGCTGTTTGTTAGTTATGAAGTGCTGCATGCATGATTGTGTGGTACGTTTGTTACTCTGTTCATGGTGGCCATTCTGGCACAGCAGTAGCCAGTGAGACTCGGTTGTTGGGTTTGAGCTTTATTTCACGGGACTTTACACATCAATGAAATTTTTGAATGTTCTTTAACTTGAGGATAAAACTATATAGTCACAATAAGAGTAATAAGAGTAATTTTAAAATTTTTGTCTTTTTCACAGCTGTTTTTTCTTTATTATGAGTAAAATTCATTAGCCACACTGGAAGATTTTTCCAAGTAATGTAATTTTGTTTTTGTTTCTTTCCTTTTTCTTCTCTTTGGAAGGTATTCTATCAAGGACCTTTTGAACCATGCCTTCTTCCAGGAGGAAACAGGAGTACGAGTTGAGTTAGCAGAGGAAGATGATGGAGAAAAGATAGCTATTAAATTATGGCTGCGTATTGAAGATATTAAGAAATTGAAGGGCAAATACAAAGACAATGAAGCTATTGAGTTTTCCTTTGACTTGGAGAGAGATGTGCCAGAAGATGTTGCTCAAGAAATGGTAAATTGACATTTATTAGCCATTTAAAATGGTAGATTTATACAGTATTACTGCTGGGAAAAAAGTAATTTACACAGTGGTGTGTGTGGCATATCCTATTTACAAACAGTTACACTAAACCCAAATGGTGTCTTTTTTTTTTTGGAAAGGCTTCAAGAGAGATTGCATTTGCTGGTTCACTCCCTAGATGGTGGCAGTGGCTAAAGCCAGAAGCTTCTTCTCAATCATTTAGGTGTGGGGGCCTAAAGACTGGGGCCAACCTCAGCTGCGTTTCCTGGTCAACAGCAGAGAACTGGAGTGGAAGTGGAGCTGTTGGGACTTACACCAGTGCCCATATGGGATACTGGCCCACAGCTGGAGGTTTAACATGCTATGCCATGTTGCTGATCCTCCCTCCACCCCCGTGTTATCTTTGAATAGTATGACTTTTCCTTTCACACACTTTGTAGATTTTTCCATTGCTTTCATAATGGGCATTACATTTTATGGTTACTGAAGTTACTTTTGAGGGAAGCATATTTATACAGGTAAAGGTATATGTGTGGTAGATGAAAGGGAAGATGAATTAAAGTGCATTCTGCAGTCCTTTTCAAAGTGTAAATTTAATGGCTCCTAATTTGTATGAAAACTCTTTAGTTATAATGACAAATTATGTTTATAAATATTAGTTTGCCTTTATCAGTCATTGTATAACCTTATAGATAGCCATGGGGGCATTAATTGCTTTTACTTTGAATGGAGTTCTCAAGATCAATTATTATTGGACCATTTTGGTATATTATTATTACACTTGATGTCAGCCAAAAGGCTGAGAACCGATGGTATATTATTATTATTAAAGTGTTTGCGGATGCAGAATCCCAAGGCTTTGGGCCATCCTTGACTGCTTTCCCAGGCCACAAGCAGGGAGCTGGATGGGAAGTAGGGCTGCTAGGATTAGAACCAGCTCCCATATGGGATCCTGGCGCGTTCAAGGCGAGGACTTTAGCTGCTAGGCCACCGCGCCAGGCCCTAAAAGATGACTTTTTAAAGGCTTACTACAGTACAAATTATTTTACAAAAATACTCAGAGAACATAGGATTTAAGAACCTTTCAGTGATAGATATGGAAAATATAGTTTTTTTTTTTTTTGCACATTTCTTGTGTTTTTCTGGGGTGTTTTTAAAACTTTCATATACTTAAAATGATTTTTTGCATCAGGATAAGTGGTTGCCTAAAGAAAAAAAGTAGAAATGGCACAGTTTGGTGATTACATGTGAAAGAGAAAAATAAATTTAGGATTATAAAGTGTCTACTTGCTTTAGGCCCTGTGGTTTCAGTTACCCCTATTGGTTTGCTGTTTGCTATAAAGAATGAAAGTATACCCACCCATCCTTCAGGGGGGTAGGCATCAGTATGGTGATATGGCAGGGTAATCCTCCACCTGCTGGCACTGGCATGCCATATAAACACTGGTCACATCTTGGCTTTTCCACTTCTGATCCAGCTCCCTGCTTATGATCTGGGAAATTAGCAGAGGATAACTCAAGTCCTTGAGTTTTCCTGTACCCATGGGGGAAATCCAGAAGAAGCTCCTGCTCCTAGCTTCTGAACAGCTCGGCTGAAGCCATTGCAGTCATGTGGGGAGTGAACCAGCAGATGGAGCAATCTCCCTGTGTCTCCTCTCTGAAACACTGCCTTCGCAACAAAAATTAATAAATCTTTTTAAAAAAATGGTAGTGGGGAAATGCATAGCGCAGACCAGTACGTTAACCACTGGCCAAGATCAGAGAGTTGTTGCTTCTCTGCTTTTGTACAATGACTTCTTTATTATTTTTGTGTTGTTTTCTTTTGATGTACCTTTGCATCTTAACACACTCTTTTATATTCTGTAGGTAGAGTCTGGCTATGTCTGTGAAAGTGATCATAAGACCATGGCTAAAGCTATTAAAGATAGAGTGTCTTTAATTAAAAGAAAACGAGAGCAGCGGCAGTTGGTAAGGGAAGAGCAAGAAAAAAGAAAGCAGGAAGAAGGCAATCTGAAACAGCAGGTAGAACAATCAAGTGCTTCCCAGACTGGACCCAAGCAGCTCCCTGCTGTCGGCAGCGGGGTACCTGCCGCTCCCACCACTTCTGCTTCAGTTTCTACACAAGTGGAGCCCGAAGAACCCGAGGCTGACCAGCATCAACAACTGCAGTACCAGCAACCCAGTGTCTCCGTGTTATGTAAGTTACTTGGAAGTGGACAGATAAGCCAGTGATGCTTCTGCTTACCTTTATTTCATATGGTTTTATGATTTTTTTATTGGTTTTGAATTATGAATCCAGCATACAATAAACTTTCAGGTGGTGGTGATCTTTTTTTTTTTTTTTTTTTACTATCTCCATGACTAATGAAATAGAATGTATCATGGAGAAAGTATAATTAGTTGATTTCGCAAGTTCCACATTTTGGGCATTGCAGTTTACAGATTTTTACTTTTTACAATTCCTTAAAATATAATTAATGAAGAAAACTGGCATAGCTTTTTAGAATTGAATTCATCAGTCTAATTGAACTTTCAGCAAAGTTCATTGTTATAGACTAAAAATCAACAAAGCTAGCAGTTATTGATTTAACTGATGATAAATCTTTTTTAAAAGATCACAAAATTTAAGTTTAAATTACAATGCTGTATTTTATTGCCTTTATTCTTCAAGAAAATGATATTCTGTGATAACTAGAGTAACCTTTAAGAAATATGTTAAAACCTGGGTTTGTTTATAGAAATTTCACTTAAATATAGTAATCTAATAGGATTACTGTCAAATTTATTTAGTTCAGGTTTGTGCAAATAAACATAATTTATTCAAGTACAATCATTCTAAAATGTGCTGGAAATGTATGAACTTCATTTTAATGATTTATCTCATTCCTTTCTCTCTCTTTGGTTTTTGGTGATTCGTTTCTCCTTTAGCTGATGGGACAGTTGACAGTGGTCAGGGATCCTCTGTCTTCACAGATTCTCGAGTGAGCAGCCAACAGACAGTTTCATATGGTTCCCAACATGAGCAGACGCCTTCTACTGGCACAGTCCCAGGGCATACAGTCCCTGTCCAAGCACAGTCTCAGCCCCATGGGGTATATCCACCTTCAAGTGTGGTAAGTAAATGCATATGCAAGTTTAAGAACCTTAATTTGAACCAATAGGTAGTTGCTACATTTAGATTTTTTTGCTACTTGAAGAACAACATGAGTCTAAAGTAGATGTAAGTAAATCTACTGCCCTGTAAATTTATGGGTTGTATCTATAAACAAACACAGATTGAACCAACACTTTGAGGTATACTGGAGGGTATGCATAGGTTACATACAAATACCGTACCCTTTTGTATAAGGAATGTGACCATCTTTGGACTGAGCTGTCTGCTTGGCGGGGGGCAGGGAAGGGTCCTGCAGCCAATCCATTGAGGCTGCTGAGATGACTATATTGCCTCAGGAAATAGGTTTACTATAGAGTATACAGTAATGCAGACGTTGCAGGTTACATACAGTTGAGTGTAGAAATTAGCTGAACTCCCTTTGTGAAGCAACCAGATAATAAAATTTAGATTAGTTTGCATTTGATTGAAAGTAATTTTTTTAAGCACAAATTGAAACTGTTCTAAGCAGCAGCAGGAATCAGAATTGGGGATGGAATAAGGAGGATTTTTCAAAAGCTTACTTCTTGAAGCAATTATTAAGTATTTTCTGTAAGATTTTTTATTGTATAAAACACAGGTAAGACCTTCAAGCCATTGTAGAATGCTGCATGTGAGTACTCCAGAGTGAAGGAATCCTTTCGTTGTATGACCATTTAATGCTTGTATTGAGTTATCCATCAGTTGCTCTGCGTGTTCCTGCGTTTAAAGTCTATGTTGGATTCAATTCCTTCCCCAGTATATGTTCATTTGCTTTTTCCCTTTATTTAATATCTGTTTTATTGCTGGTTTACTTTCAAAATCAACTTACAGAGGTTATTGCAAAAATGTTTATGCTTGTACACACAGACACATCATTATCTACTCTTGCTACTCCTATAAAGTAAGTAGGTCATCACTTAAGACTTTGTTTTCCTGCCTCTTTTAAAGGAAAATGTAGCATTTGTCTCAGAAACAAATTAGGAAATAATTAAATAGTACTTGTTTCATGAGATTGTTAGGCAGACAGATTTTTTTTCCTCTTCAAAAAAACTTTTAATCTGAACTTGTGGAAATCTTACTCGTCATTCAGTGAAAATCATTCTTAATAGAAAATGATTTTGCCCTCGTCTTTGAATCTGCAGCTAGATTATGAAAAGGTGCTGTTTGTTTCAGAGTGTGTTGGATCAGTCCATTTCGATGAATGAACTATGTAGATGAATGACCGTGGTAACACAAGGACAAAGTTTGGAAAGGACAGAGTGACCACAGTGAATTTGTTCTCAATTTACTTTCTGACCTTTAAGATATATATAAAGACTGCATGGAAATGTATTGCTATGTTCTGACAATGTTAATTGTCAGCATTTCTTACCAGTTTCTGCTTTGGATATACTTTGGGTTTCTTCTAGATCATTGTAGCTAGATTGTAGAAAAGTGTTTCCTTTTTTTTTTTTTAAGGTTTATTATTTTTATTGGAAAGTGGATATACAGAGGAGGAGAGACAGAGAGGAAGATCTTCCACCCGATGATTAACTCCCCAAGCGCCCACAACCGCTGGGACTGAGCCAATTCAAAGCCAGGAGCCAGGAGCTCTTCCAGGTCTCCCACTCGGGTGCAGGATCCCAAGGCTTTGGGCCGTCCTCAACTGCTTTCCCAGGCCACAAGCAGGGAGCTGGATGGGAAGCAGGGCCACCTGAATTAGAACCGGTGCCCATTTGGAATCCCGGCGCATGCAAGTCTAGGACTTTAAACACTACACTATCGTGCCAGGCCCAAAAAGTGTTTCTGATCTTTTGGCTTCATTTCTAGGGTAAAAAACAATAGGCATATATTTGAGAAAAGAGAATAGACATTTAAGGATATTAATATTTGAGCCACTAGCATAAGCATGTGCTTTAATGCTCTAGAAGCAGAGTGTTTTCTTGCCTTTTAATATAAATACTCTGTGGATTAAAGAATTATTATATATCTCGGATTTTTGAAGGTTTAAAAATTCTCTTTCATTCCTGAAAGAACTTGCTGTGACCTGTAATGATATATGCATTATAGATGGAATTTTTAAAATTGAGTGAAACAAGGGCAGAAAATGTGGGATAGGAAATGAAGGAAATGAAACTAATCATATGTTGATACTTACAGACTTGTTACTAGTAGGCTGCAAATTTGAGAACATTCCATACAGCTAGTTTTAGAAAAAAAAAATGTCTAGTTATATAATTTGCATAATTATGGGGAAGCCACAGACTCGCTCAAGACAACCTTACAGATTTAGACATACTACTTTATAGCTTATTAAACCCTATCTGTTAAGGTATCCCAAAACTGGTAAATCTGATTTAAGTGTTTGATGTGTTTGAAAATATTTTTACAGAGATTCAAATTGAAGATTTTTTTCCGCCCCACTGGGTACTTTAGTAAAAGTACAGAATGTCTCATCCATTTGTGACTCTTTCAGAAAGTTCTACTATGTCCTGTAGGTGACACTTTGTCACATTCTCAGAAAAGATGGTCAAATGTAATAAAATACTATGAAACAAATTTTTTAGCCTGAGGGCTTCTAAAGTGAGAATTATTTTCTGATGTTTCCACAGCTCCTGCAAAATGGTAGTTTTAAAATTTTCTACGTCGTGTACTCTAAATTAATACTTAACTTATTTAATCTTCTCTAATTTGCAGAAGCTGTGAGCTCTGATACTTAGTGTTTCCTGTCCATACCTTTAGCCAGTCACCCATGACAGTCTGTGGTATTTCAGCATATTCAGGTTAACTGACACTTATAATAATTCATAAGAAATCCTGTGCTTCAACAGTAGAGAGAGTAATTGTCTTCTGCCAGATGTGCTTTGTCACCTCAACAAAGCTGAGAATTTAATTCTCTAATTAGAGAAAAGATGGAACATTTCTTTATGTTAACTCTGCCATTATCACTATACATTTGGTTATTTTGTTTTCAAAGTACTGTGTTTTCATGTGTGTGTTTGTTTTCTGTTTAGCCTCGTCGTGGCTGTAGCATGTCGGTTTGTGTTCCCTGTCTGTCCCGCATCTCACCCAGTGCTCCTTCCACCCCCCCACCAGTGCTGTATGCACCTCTGTCTCCTCCCCTCCTCCGGACTGCCCCCGAGGAACAGCTTTCTAAAGCCTTGGAGAGCGTCCTGCCTGTGCATTCTGCCTCTCAGCTCAAGCGCCGGCGCTCCAGCCTGCCTTCCCTCTCTGTCAGTGCTGTATGTAACTGAACTTCCAACAAAGACTTATTGCCAGTGAATACATCCAGGCGTGTAGAACATCAGTGAATATTGAATAAAGAGCAGGACTAAATCTAGTTATATGCTGTGCCTATAAAATGCTGGTTATACCTATGGAAGACGTTTTTGTAAGAAGTCTTTAATTAGCAATAAAAACATGGAGGTAAGGAGAGAGAATGCCTATGTCTTTGGCACATACCAGTGTATGCTTAAGAATTTTTAGCTTTTATATCTCCCCATTCACCTGCTGACAGACTTTTACATTTTCATACCCTAGTGAAAAATATATGCTTTATTTAATTCAAAAGTCATTGTTGGCTTAGTCAAAAACAATTTGGATCAAACATTATGAACATATGTTTTCTTGTTACTTTACTAAGGGACACTCCAGTTTTTACTCTAAATGAAGAATAAGGAGTAAAAATTGGTTTTATTTGTTAAGACAAATTTATGTTGGATTTTGTTGTAATTGTATTAAGTGTTGTGCTAGCAGAGTAAAAGACAACATCATGTCCCTTTGTGAGAAATATTCTTTAATTAGAATGTTGATTAGAAACATACACAAAATACATAAGCATCTTTGGGTTAATATCTATAAAAGACATTTAAAAACATTTTAAGTACCATGGATGTTGTTACTGTTTTTCCAGACATTAAAATATAGTTATATTCTGAATTAGCAACCCAGAATCTTCCAGATCTTTACATACAAGAATGAGTAACAGGGCCCGGCACCGTGGCCTAGCGGCTAAAGTCCTCGCCTTGAATGCGCCAGGATCCCATATGGGCACTGGTACAAATCCGAGTAGCTCCACTTCCATCCATCTCCCTGCTTGTGGCCTGGGAAAGCAGTCGAGGACGGCCTAATGCTTTGAGATCCTGCACCCACGTGGAAGACCGGGAGGAAATTCCTGGCTCCTGGCTTTGGATCCGCACAGCACCAGCTGTTGCGCTTACTTGGGGAGTGAACCATCGGATGGAAAATCTTCCCCTCTCTCTCCTCCTCTCTGTATATCTGCCTTTCCAATAAAAATAAATAAATCTTTAAAAAAATAATAATAAAGGCAAACATTCAGAAAATATACACATTAAAATCAGTAACAGTATAGTGTTTTTATGATTTTGGAACACATCGTAAACAATAGTAGAAAAAGCGTTTTGATTCAAAATAGGAATCTTCCTTAGGCTCTTTTGAGTAGTTCAGCCATTTCATCACCTTGATATGGGTCTTAAAAGAGTGAAAATGACCTTTTTTCTTAAATAAATTCCATTACACTAAATTATTCTAGTACATATTGTTTGCATTGGGCAAACCAGGATTCTTAATTCAATCTTAATGCAGTCTTAATTCTAGAATTGCTTCTGTGAACCCCCCAAAAATGCCATTAAAACAAACTCTCATTTATATTTTACTTTTTGCTGGAATTGACCATTAGCTATCAGAATCTGAAAACTCAGGGTTATTCAACCCTTCCTTTACCTAGGATCAGAAAAATAGCATATATTTATTTCCCGTAGTCCTGGGAAATTACACTGATACCTCTGTGTCTGTAACACAAGTACAGTATAAGAAGAAAACAGAATATAATATAGAAAGTCTTTCCATAAAGATACTGAAGCATACTTCTTACATTATAAATAATCGGGCTGGTTGCCTACCGTGCATCAGTCTAAAGAGTGAACATACCTATTGTAGAAGTGAAGTAATAATCACTTCAAAAACTCGGTTCTTTTATTTCTCTTAAAAATGGACAGTTACAGGAAAGAAGCTCTTTTCTGATACAGAAGAGTCCTGTGTATTGATTTCATTGTCCCTGGATGTATTTAATGGATTATTATGCACATAACTTCCAAAGACATTGTTATTTCTTTATTAATGATATATTTGATGTAACCATTTATCAGTTTATGCAAACCACACAGTTGTGCATGTCTGATGTAATTTCACATGTGAATGTATGAATTACTTGTCTTATTCATGTTGATACAGCCTCAGTCCGTGGTGCATCCGTGTGGGGGGACCCCAACATACCCAGAGTCACAGATATTTTTCCCAACTATTCATGAACGTCCAGTTTCTTTTTCACCACCTCCCACCTGTCCGCCGAAAATTTCCATTTCTCAGCGGCGTAAGAGCACCTCCTTCCTGGAAGCCCAAACTCGCCACTTCCAACCCTTGCTGAGGACTGTTGGCCAAAATCTTCTTCCACCTGGTGGCAGCCCAACTAACTGGACACCAGAGGCTGTAGTTATGTTGGGCACTACAGCCAGTAGAGTAACCGGAGAGCTATGTGAAATGCAGGTCCATCCGATTTTTGAACCAACTCAGATTTATAGTGACTATAGACCTGGACTAGTACTTCCAGAAGAAGCTCACTATTTTGTTCCTCAGGAAGCAATGTATCTAACTGGGGTACATTATCAGGCCCAGGTGGCAGAACAGTATGAGGGTATTTCATACAATTCGCCAATAATGTCAAGTCCTATGAAACAGATACCTGAACCGAAGCCAGGACAAGGGGGTTCTACCACAAGCTCTGTCTTTGAATTTCCACCTGGACAGGCTTTCCTGCTAGGACACCTTCAGAATTTAAGATTAGATCCTGGAATGAGTCCAGGGTCTCCCCTGTCTAGTATTTCTGCTCCTATCAGTACAGATGCTACAAGTTTAAAATTTCATCCTGTCTTTGTTCCTCATTCTGCACCTGCTGTGTTAACTCATAGCAATGAGAGCAGAAGCAACTGTGTATTTGAATTTCATGTTCAAACACCAGGCTCCTCTTCGGGAGAAGGAGGTGGAAATTTAACTCAACGTGTTTATGGAAACCGACAGGTTGCAATGGATTTGAATCAGGAAGAACTGCCATCTCAATCATTTGGATTACCTGGTCACCTACAATCTGTGACTGAAGAACAGCGTAATTACCATGCCCCTGAATTGACCGTTTCTGTGGTAGAGCCGATTGGACCGAACTGGCCAATAGGAAGCCCAGAATATTCCAGTGATTCCTCACAAATCACTTCTTCAGATCCCAGTGATTTTCAGTCACCTCCTCCTACAGGAGGAGCAGCTGCAGCTTTTGGCTCTGACGTCTCCTTGCCCTTTGTTCGTCTGCCTCAGACAGTGTTACAAGAATCCCCACTTTTCTTCTGTTTCCCCCAAGGAACCACATCTCAGCAGGTCTTATCCGCCTCATTCTCTTCGGGAGGATCAGCACTGCATCCACAGGTTATAGGAAAACTTGCACAATTCTTTTAACTACCCTGTTATGCACCGTTGCTTTGAATTTTTCCATTCATCATTTTGCTGAATCATGGATTTATGAGAAACTTTAATTTTGTCAGTAGAATTTCCTTATCTTTTGAGGGCTATAAACTACTTGTATTTAAAAACAGTATCTGAAGAGGAAGCTACATGTTTTACATGTATTTCCAGATCGTTGGAAAAGAGAAAACAAAAGCTAGAATTCTAATCATCCGTCAAAATCAATGACTTATATTCTAGTGCATGGTACTTTCACCTAGTAGTAAAATGCAAATGTCTATAATGTAAGGTTGGACTCAGCATTGATTGTTTATGTGTGTTTATACTATTATTTCTTATAAATACACTTTTTCAAGAAAATATATTTGTAAAACACAGAAATTAAGCTATAAGGGAGTGATTGAGTAGGGACAGTATTAAGAATTAATAACTGAAGTTTTCCTTAGTGTGGAAGGATACTAAGAAGACAGGAAAAGGAAGCATCTTGGTATTTACTTCAGAAAATGACATCAAACAAGTCAGCATGTATTATATGTCCAGATAAAATATTAAATCCATAAAATTCTGATTTTAGTTTTTAACCAAATTAGAAATCAGGTTTTATTATTTTGTACTTTGAAAATTTGTGATGTATCTCCCAGGGTTAAAAAAAAAAGCAGTAGATCTTGGGCCTTCTTTATTTGTTTGCTTTCGTGACCAGTTTCAGTTTAGTTGTTTAAGTGAGCCTCATGTAGACTGACATGCAAGCAATGACAGGGACACAGAATTCAAGAACTAGAAGCAACATTGAACATGTTCTTTTGATATCTGTTGTACACATTTATAAAATCTACATAAGAAACTACACAATCATGTTGGAAGACATTTAGATCATCTAAATATTCCAGTTTGTGGTTTTAATTTTCACTTTGTTTGAAAGAGAGAAGCTGAGCTCTCCAATCCACATTTTCATTCCTCAAATGCCCACAGCATCCAGGGCTGGGCCATGCTGAAATCTAGAGCCTGGAACTCAGTCCATGCCCCAGTGCCACCCTCATGGCACTTGAGCCACCCTTTGCTACCTTCCAGGGAGTATAGAAGCAGAGCAACCAATTGTTGAACCAGGCATTCTGATATGGAATGCCAGCATCCCATGCAGCGTCTTAACTGCTATACTAAGGCCTGCCCCTTTTATATATTATATGTCTTTCTTCCTGTGTTCTTAAAGGGATAATTACTAAGTAAGTTCTCAGGTTGTCTACCATTAATGTAAATATTAAAATCTTCTCATTTAAATTTTTCACAATACATCTATATAGGTATGTTACAAAAGAAATGTATGCTTTTCAGTAGTGAAATTGTAGTACATTCTGGTAACATCCATGGAAGCTTCAAAGAATGTCCTATAAGTTTAACTGGAACAGCAAAAGTAGTGTTTTCATTTCCTTAACCTACCTATGTGTGGTCTCACATTCATTTCTCACTTTCTCACTTATTTTGAATTAAACATCCTGATAATTGAAACCGACATTTTGGTTTTGATTGGAGTCAGGGGGGTGCTGTTACTTGGATTGTAAGATTTAGCAGCATCATTGGTTTACCTACTGGATGCTCAAAGCAGCCATTTCCCCCAACATGACAAGAAATGCCTCCATATATTGCCAGATGACCCTTTATTAGGGTAGCAAAATCATCCTTGTGTAGTAACTATTGCTTTAAGTGCTTGGCAGTTTATACTAACAGATGTTTCACATGTGGCACTATAATAGAATAAACCAAATTAGCTTTATCAAATAACACTTTTATGTCATTGTTAAAATGTGAAACATTCCCACCTTTTAGTCTTATTACTTTTTCCTATTTTTTTGCAAAAACAATTATGACTATGAGTTTTCTAGTTAGCCTGAGCGTCAGTGGTAAACTATGTTTTAGCTGTCAATAGCTTTTGTATGAAATACAAGCAGAACCTATTCTGTGAGAACCTTCTCTAAACATTTCTCGGGAAAGATGCTCCAAAGGACTTTCTCATAGGTACTAAAGGAGCTGTTAATTGCAGATGTTGGACCTGTATACATTTGTTGGGTCTTCTCTGATTTGTTGTGTTTGCCTATTACTTTCAGGTACAAGGACAGAGCCAGGGCCAGCCACCCACCAGTAGCTTAACAGGGGTTCTGTCTTCTCAACCTGGACAGCATCCTCAGCAGGTGAGAACAACCATAACTTTGTTTTATGGATTAGCAGAAACTGAAACACTTTAGTTTCTCTCTTCCTAGTGTAATGGTTTGAGAGGTATACACTATTTTTCGTGTTCTGTAACATTTTAAACAATCTTTCACTTAATGTATTTTTTTAACATGGTAGATAAATTAATTTTTGAACCATTATTATAGATGTGTTATATCTGCCTTCTTAAACAGATAATTCTTTCTTTTTAATTAAGAAAATTTTTTCTTTAAAGACTCATTTTTTTTGGAAAATCAGATTTACAGAAAGAAGGAGAGACAGAGATCTTCCATCTGCTAGTTTACTCCCCAAGTGGCCACTACAGCCAGAGCTGAGAAGATCCAAAGCCTATAGCCAGGAGCTTTATTTAGGTCTCCCATGCAGGTTCAGGGTCCTAAGGCTTTGGGCTGCTCTCGACTGCTTTTCTAGGCCACAGCTGGAAGGAAAGTAGAACAGCTGCGAGTAGAACGACTTCCTATATGGGATCCTAGCAAATGGAAGGCAAGGACTTTAGCCACTAGGCTACCAAGCAGGGCCTTTAACCAGATAAACGTACACAAAATTAACAGTGTGAAAAGGAGTAGAGTTAGTGTTTGGCACAGTGGTTAGGATCCTACTTGGAATACCAACCTCCCATGTTGAGACCCAGCTCTTCTCTTCCCATTTAGCTTCCTGCTAATATGTGCCCTGGGAGGCAACAGATAACTGTCTCAAGTACTTGGATCCTGGCTACCCAAATGGAAGATGAGAATTAGTCCCAGGGCTTGGTGCAGTAGCTCATTGGTCCTCGCCTTGCATGTGCCAGGATCCCATATGGGTGCTGGTTCTAATCCCGGCAGCCCTGCTTCCCACCCATCTCCCTGCTTGTGGCCTGGGAAAGCAGCTGAAGATGGCCCAATGTCTTGTGACCTTGAACCTGTGCGGGAGACCTGGAAGAAGCTCCTGGCTCATGGCTTCAGATCGGCTCAAGCTCCAGCCATTACGGCCAGTTGGGGAGTGAATCAGCAGACTAAAGGTCTTTCTCTCTGTCTCTCCACCTCTCTGACTTTCCAATAAAAATAAATAATTTTTTTTTTTTAAAGAATTAGTCCCAGGCTACTGGTTTTGGCTGACCGAGCTTCTACTTTTGGATAAAATTTAGGAATGAGTTTACCAGCAGGTGGAAGATATCACTCCCACTTCCTCAACCTCTTCCTTTCAAATAAAGAAGTGGGTTCAGAGATGAGAGTATGGCTGGCCTGCCACTTAAGAGTATGCTTGGCTTACTTAACAGCCTTCATCAGAGTGCCTGAGTCTAGGTCCCTGCTGCACTCCCCATTTCAGCTATTGTGCCTTGGTGTAGGCATCAGCAGGCTTTTGTAATAGGGTCCTGGCTCGTGACTTTGGCCTGATCCAGTCTCAGATGTTGAAGCCATTGGGGCATAAACAAGCAAATGGGAGTTTGCTCCCTGTTTTAAATCATGTTAATTTTTTTTTTAATTCCAGCGACAGAGAAGGCAATCTGTTAATTCTGTTAATAATTTACTCCCCCAAATGTCTGGAAGCTGGGTGGAAACGACTGGGCCAAATCTGGTTGCCAGAAGCTCAGTCTAGGGCTCCCAGTGCAGGTGGTAGAGACCTGACCACTTGAGCCTCCTGATGCCTCCCAAGGGGGTCATCATATTGGAAACCTGGAATTGGGAAACTAAACCCAAGTATCAAAACCAAGCACTTCAGTATGGGAGACTGGCATCCCAGTCAGTTGGTGGCCTGCTAGCCAAATACTTGCCCCTAAAGTCCTTTGTCCTTTAGGGTTACTTGTAGTCTTTTAGATAGCATATCAGGTTTTATGCTAAGAGGCACTGAATGAAAATCTGACAGCTATTTCAGGAAAACTTAACAACACTTTTCTCAATTATTTGTGAGGTTGTTTTCTTTTCCCAGAAGTTACAAGGGCTGAAGAGTAACAGCAGGGAAGACTTAGGACGGTGGTAAAACTGACAATTTTTATTTTAAGTTGTATTTTTATTGGAAAGACAGATTTACAGGGAGAAGGATTAACAGAGACAGACAGAGAAAGGAAAATGGGTCCTCTGTCTGCTGCTTCACTCCCCAAATGGCTGCAATGGCTGAGGCTGAGGCAATCCGGAGCCAGAAGCCAGAACTTCTTCCAGGCTGCCACACAGATGCAAGCTCCCAAAGCTTTGGCCATCCTCTGTTGCTTTCCCAGGCCACAAACAGGGAGCTGGATGGGAAGTGGAGCAGCCAGGACACACACTGCTGTTCACCTGGGATCCTGGTGCATGCAAGGCTACTAGGCTTCCAAACAAGTATCTACATATGCATCAAACATGTATACTGATACACACACAGAAAATTGTGGTTAAATTTAAATGATCACATTTTTCCAACCCTAGGATTCTTCCTTAGCCTCCTTTTTTTAAAATTAATTATTTGGAAGAGTTCCAAAGAAGGTAGTGTCTACTGATTGATTGCCAAGATGGCGCCATTACCAGCACTGAGCCAAGCCAAAAGAGGAGCTTCATCTGATTCTCCCATGCGTATCACAGGGGCACAGACACTTGGACCATCAGCCGCTCTATTTCCCAGGCCATCAGCAGGGACACATTAGCTGGGACACAAGCAACACCCATGTGGGATGCTGGCATTGTAGGCAGTGGCTTTACCCACTATAACATAAGACTAGCCCCTCTTCTGTCCTAAAAGCCCCTCTTATGTACAAACTGCATAAAGCTGAGTAAGGACACAAATACTGTCATATAAATATCAGTCTTTTAATTCACCTATCTCTAGACTTAGGCCAGTATCAGTCAGCTGAGGAAATGTATACACTTGTATGCCCTGTGTTTCCTTTCCCAAAAGAAGTTGTGATTGATCGATAAATACATGGTCAAATAGGCAAGCTAACTATCAAATGAAGACAATGTGCACTAGCCCTTGGGTTCAGTGGGATGCATGATTGTCGAAGAAAGCAATGAAACAAATAGTAGCTCAAACAGTGTGAAGCGGTTTTTCTTCTGGGAAAAATCCATATGTAAATGCTGGTTTCTCCAACAAAAACAATTTGATTTTTATTATAGTTAGGTTTTTTTTTAATTTAGATACCACTGTGGTATAATATTTCAATTGAACAGAATTGGAAAATTGTACCATTAATATTTGTAAGTATTTGCGGTCTAGAAAATTAACTCTGGCAAAATCTTGTAGACAGTAAAAGAGATAAAAATTATAACAATGTTATTTTTTATCTAAATAAAGTTCTACAGGGAACTAAAATTCTGCAAGGATATTCATGATGCTGCATTTATTTGAGAGCAAGATTCCACATTTTAAAAGAAAAAAAATTATAGTTTTGTGAATTAAGTAGTTTATCTTAACACACTGCACCTTAAGGAACCATATCACTCATTTTATTCTAGTGAGGAAGGAAATGTTCTCTAATTGAAATTTACTTTATTTCATGGATTTCATAGTAAATGCAAGATTTCTTTTCCTTATTTTTCTCAAGAATCTCTCAGAGTACCATACTGTATCTTGATGTGATGCCAAAAGTAGTTTTCTCCAGCTAGAAGGCTCTGTGGCTATAAGAAAGGTGTAAGTTATCTCACCAGCTGAATTTCTTGAATAAGACCTTTGTAGAGTATTCAGGCTGTCTTACTTTTCAGCTGTGGCTCAAGAACATTTTTTTTATCAGGCAGTCCTGTCCATCTGATGATCCCCATTACATAAAGGCAGTTTAATACAAGTTTATACTAACCCTGATTCCAGGCTTGCTTGCTTCTGTTAAATCAGATGTGCAAAGGCACATCACCGTGTCCTTTTGGCTTTCCCAAGGGTGTTACTTCTCTAAATGCTGTGAGATAGAACTGACATGAATGCATGTGTGTTATTCCCCCCCCCCCAAAAAAAAACTTCAGTTTTGCAACAAAATAGGAAATTTAAAATGAAATTAATAAATAGTAAAGCTAAAATTTGAAACTACTGATTTCAAATTCGATGCTTTTCTCATTATTCTGTGATTATAATTAGCTATTCTCCGAGTACATTAAAAGAGTAAAAAATAGTATTAGGAAAAGAGATTAAATGAGGACAATGGATTAATCTAATATGTGAATCAAGATGAAAGTTAAAGCAAACTAGGAAGCCGTGTGCAGAAGGGCTCGGGTGCAGTGGGGAGAAGAGCTGTTTGGCTGTGGTGTTTGAATGTCTGTAGAAGACCTACTGAGGTGAAGGTGATGCTTGGTGAAGAACCAATTATGACTTGAATTTTGTAGAGTTGGTTACTTGATTCTTAGTGGTACCATCAGAAGTACAGAATGTTAGAAAAGAAGCAGCAGGGTAAAGATGAATGAGTTTGAGTTTGTGTGTTAGTTACTGACCATGTTACAGGCACTGAAGGCTGAGGGTGCGCATGCTTCCTCAGGGCCGTGATGCTTGGGCTTTGGGATGAAGCTGACTTGCTGTGTTTTACTCCTAGCAGCAAGGAATGCAGCAGCCCGCTCTTCCTCAGCAGACTGTGCAGTACTCTGTTCCACAGACAGTGGCCTCCAGTGAGGCTGCCGCTGCCCAGCCTGGGAGTCAGCCACAGCCTCCGCTGGTCTTGCAAGGATCGTCTGGAAAACAGGTAGATGATTTTTTTTTTTTCCATTTCTGAAAGGATGCTAAAAACAATCCCCATGTAACTTTCCCTTTCAAGTAGATGAACTTCTGATAGTAAAGTGTCGAGTTGGTTGACCTTCTTGTAAAATGCAGTGCAAATTGCCCTGTTTGCATTGTTTAGTATAAATGGAGTATACTGACAGCAGTGCTGACTCAGCACTTTGAGATTTATCATTGTCAGCACAGGTGTTTAAACTAATGCATTAAAATGCTTTGGTAACTGAATCTGACATGCTGTAGCAATGTGCCAGCTGTGTCTAGTAGTGTTACCTATGGGTATGGCCTCGTCTGTGCACCCTGTTACTGTCATGTTTTATTGCTTCTGAGATACTATCATCTGTAAAATGCTGACACACGATCGCTTGTGTGATACACTCCTAATTCCTCAGATGTTAAAAATGAGCCGTAGTGGCGAGGGTAAGTAGATCCTACAGTCGGTGGATTTTATTCATTATATCCTCTTTCCTAGAGCTCTGTTAGAACTTCAGAGCTGTGGAAGTAATGTGAAGTCTACTTCCTCTGGGAGAGGATTCACCTTTTCAGAGAGTAGTGCAATAGCAGCTATAGATTCAGTGAGAATCTATACAGGTTAACAGATTAACAGGTTAACAGATTATGATATGTGAAATATTTACCAGTAAGTGTGTTTTTAAAAAGAGTAGCCTTTGCAGAAAGATTATGTTTTTTATTATAAAACAATAAAAACATTAGCATTATTTTCTACGGTAAATGTTTGGGACAGTGGCCAGTATATTAACCTCTTTGTCTCCAGTTTAGTCCCTCTTATGTGACACGTTAACTTGTACTAATGTGTACTGGGTTTGTTTTATTTATTTTTCTTTCTTTTTGGCTATACATAAAGCTTGCTTTTGGCAGCTTTTTTTGTTTTGTTTTAAGTCTGTGTCTTTTGTTTTTCTTTACCTTCCCAGCTTCCAGTTTCCCAGCCAGTACCAACTGTCCAAGGCGAACCTCAGATCCCAGTTGCGACACAACCCTCACTTGTTCCAGTCCACTCCGGTGCTCCTTTCCTCCCTGCGGGACAGTCATTCCCTGCTTCCTTACTCCCTCAGTACCCTGTCTCTCAGATTCCCATATCGACTCCTCATGTATCTACAGCTCAAACAGGTTTCTCCTCCCTCCCCATCACAATGGCAGCTGGCATTAGTCAGCCTCTGCCCACCCTGGCCTCATCTACTGCAGCAGCTGCCATCCCAGGGGCATCCACTGTGGTTCCTAGTCAGCTTCCAACCCTTCTGCAGCCTGGCACTCAGCTGCCAAGTCAGGTCCATCCACAGCTTCTGCCAACAGCAGTTCAGTCCATGGGAGTACCAGCTAACCTTGGACAAGCTGCTGAGGTTCCTCTTCTTCCCTCTGGAGATGTTCTGTACCAGGTACTGTGCTAGCTAGCTTAAAAGGAGGGATCTAGAGGGTTTGGTCTAATAGTAGACTACCAAAAACTTTAAAACCTTGTAATTAAGTTTCAAAGTAACAGTAATGATATTGCTGATCTCAACCAAAGAGAAGCTAAAATAGATTCTGAAAAATAATCTGATGATTACCAGTCCATGATTGTAAATGAGAGAAAAATGTTTCCCTCGATATTCAGTGTATGATGGTTAAATATTGAGCATCAGTAGAATGTCTCTGTTGTGTGTAGATACTGAGTAAAGTGGTAGATTGGTATCAACAAAATCAGGATTTCGATTTAGAAGAATAGCATTAACAGGATGACTGCAGTGACTAGATACCTGGAAAGGTTTTTTGCATTCTTCCACTTGAGAGTGGTCAGAAATTACTCTCCCCCAGAGAGATCAATCTGTTTCTTCATACATAATCTCCAGAAGGAGAAACTCCAGCAATTTGTAAGACATGACTGTGGAGTCCTGTTCCTCACATTGATTTCGAGAATAATCATTAATCTTCAGAATGTTTCTGAAAAGATGAAGAAATAAGGCTACTATTCTTTTTTTGCTGAGTGTTTTTTGTTTCTGTTTTTGTTTTTTGCATGCCTCACTGTTTTTGCTAGTTTTATCATCCAGCCTGCACTAACTCACCTTCCTCATTTCTGTCACAGGGCTTCCCAACTCGACTGCCACCACAGTACCCAGGAGACTCAAATATTGCTCCCTCCTCCACCGTGGCTTCTGCTTGCGTCCATTCTACCGTCTTGTCCCCTCCCATGCCGGCAGAAGCATTGGCTACACCAGCTTACTTTCCTACAGTGGTGCAGCCTTATGTGGAACCAAATCTTTCGGTTTCTGTGGGCAGTTTAGGAGGACAGGTTCAAGTGTCCCAACCAGCAGTGAGTTTAGCACAACCCCCTACTACATCCTCCCAGCAACCAGTTCTGGAGGTAAATGGGATTATTGCATGTTTATATATAAAATCTATATAATGGGATAAAAATGGCAAAAGAGACATAGGCTCCCTGGTTTATAACTCATTGGGAGACTATATCACACTAACTCTAAGTGACTTTTTCTTACAGCAGAATGAAATGTCATTGTGGGGGCCTTGTTGCCACTGGCTGTTCTGTTGGGAAGTGAGTGTGCCTTGAAGATTAACCCTATTAGCACTTCACTTCTCTAGCTAGTACTTTAGTCATTTTTCTTGTCCTTTCACAAACTCTTGCCATTGGCAGTTGTAAGAGTATCTTGACTTACTATACTCCCAGCAATCGTTTTTGCCCTACTAGGGGAAACATCTGAATTCATCTTTGCACTTTGCTCTGCCTGCCCTGTTGCACACCTCTGGTAAGATGCTGGCTGCATGGCAAGTTGTAGCTTCACACTGCCTAGCAAACACATTGGCTGACCTCACACCATGCAGTCTATACCAGAGACTAGCTTTAGAAACTTCTTCGGAATTTTAAGACCACTGTCTCTAGATGCTGAGTATTGAGAATTACTAGTAAATTTAGTGCTTCTAGGACTTAACGGGAGAGTTTTTTTTTTTTTTTTTTTAAGGAAAGAAAAGGAGAAAAGGGAGTACTGGGGTTGAAGAATGCTAAAGCATGATACTACCAAGATTTCAATTGTTCTTTCCATTCACAGAGTACTCAGGGAGTCTCTCAGGTTGCTCCTCCAGAACCAGTTCCACTAGCACAGCCACAACCCACCCAGCCTCCCACTTTGGTTTCTTCTATTGACAGGTATGTAAAACTAGAATTCCTCTTCAACTGGTAGGGAGAATGATATGACATTTTACATGATCAGACCTTTGAGGTTGGCATTGTAGTACAGAAAATTAGACTACCACTTGATTCCATGCTGGAGTGCCTGGGATCAAGTCCCACTGAGCCTGTACTTGTGATTGAGCTTCCTGTTAATGCAGCTGCCACCCAGCTGGGAGTTGCTGGCTCTTGGGCCCTGTCTCCCTGCCCCCCACTTCCCTTTCCTTCTCTCCTTCCCTACCACTTCACACCTGGTCTCTCTTCTCACTCTCATTCTTTCAAAGAAATAAACTTTTAACTGCCTTTCAAATAAGTAAATCTTTTAAAACTTTAAATAAATGTGTATGTATGTTGATATCAGACCTTTAAAATCTCTTATTGCAAATGGAAAAGTTTTGTTTTTGTTTTGTTTTGTTTCAAGTGCACATTCAGATGTTGCTTCAGGGATGAGTGATGGCAATGAGAATGTCCCAGCGTCCAGTGGAAGGCATGAAGGGAGAACTACCAAACGACATTATCGAAAATCTGTAAGAAGTCGCTCTCGTCATGAGAAGACTTCACGGCCAAAATTAAGAATTTTGAATGTGAGTATTGTTGATTCATTGATTTTATATTGTTAAATAATTTGGCACTAAACAGGATTTTAGAGGGCACAAATCAAATCATTCACATCATTAAATAAAGATACTTCATGGCACAGGATTTGTATAACACTTTACTTATTTAAGAGTTATTTATGGGCCCGACATGATAAGCCTAAAGGTTAAATCCTCACCTTATATGCTCAGGATACCATAAGGGCGCTGGTTCATGTCCCAGTTACTGCATTTCCCATCCAGCTCCCTGCTTGTGGCCTGGGAATGCAGCAGAGGACAGTCCAAAGCCTTGGGACCCTTAGCCTGTGCCCAGGTGGAAGACCCGTAAGAAGCTCCTGGCTTTGGATCGACTTAGCTCTGGCCTTTACAGCCACTTGGATTGTGAACCAGTGGGTGGAAGATCTTTCTCCTGTCTCTTCTCTGTAAATCTACCTTTCAATAAAAATAAATAAATCTTTTTAAAAAATTTATTTATTTGCTTGAAATTTTCTATTAGTGTTTCATTCCACAGCAGCCAGGGTCCAGACCAAAACCAGAAGCATAGAACTCCATCCAGGTCTCCAACTTGAGTAACAGGGCCCTAGTTGCTTGGGTCATCCTTTTTTTTTTTTCTTTTTCCTTTCCTTTTGTTTTCTTTTTAGGTTTGCACTCCTTTTTTTATTTTGAGTTTTATGGTACAATTCCATAGGGTTTGGGATTTCCCATCTGCCAAATTCTTACCCCTCAACTGATTTTCCCCATATTACAATAGTATAGTCCATCATAAGGAGTCGTGATTCCATCAGTCTGTTATTTAATTGTGCCCTGACATTGCTGGTACAGACAGTGTCAGACAGTCCAGCATCCCATTGTCTAGATATGTGCAGCAATTTCATTGGGAGTCCATCCTTGATTTGGAAGGAGGGATGCATGTCTCATTGTATTTTCACATCAGGATATGGTAGTCTCCATTACTCTATCGCTATACATTCCAATTTGCATGATGGCTTCCTTATATTAGAGAGAACATGTGGTATTTGTCCTTTTGGGATGGACTTACTTTACTGAGTACAATGGTCTCTAGTTGGAACCATCTAGTTGCAAATGATTGAATTTCATTCTTTTATGGCTGAGTAATATTCCATGGAGTAGATACACCACAGTTTCTTTAACCACTCCTCTTTGGACAGGCACCTGGACTGTTTCTGTATCTTTGCTATTGTAGATTGTGCTGCTGTAAATATAAGATTACAGATCCCCTTTTCATATGCAGTTTTCATATCCTTTTGGGTATTATTCCTAGCAGCGGGATAGCTGAGTCTACTTGGCTGTTTACCCAAATGCATTGGGAGGAGAACAGCTGGAACTTGAACCAGTTCTCTGATTCAGGATCCTGGTATTACAAGAGTTGATTAACTCAATGTGCTACAATGCTACCCCACCTGAGTTAGTCTGCATAAGCCTTTTTGTAACTACATATCACATTTTCAAATAGGAGAAATGAAAATATAGCCCATAATTCAACCAGTAGATTAATATTATTTAAATAATTCTTGAAAGTTGATTTGCACTGAAACTTTAAGATCTTCAAATAAAAAGCAAAAAAGGGAGTTAAGATCTCATAATTACATATTCTTGAATTCCCAGATTATTGTAGTTAGACAATATTTATTTACCTTATATAGAAAAAAATGTTTCTTATATGGGGACACATGTTTGGCCCACATTTGACTGCTTAGATTTGATTTTCAGCTGCAGCTCCTGTTAATGGGGATCCCAGTAGGCAACAATAATGGCTCAGGTAATTGGGGTTCTACCTCTGGTATGACACATGGATTGAGTTCCTAGCTACCAGCCTTGGTTCTTGAGCATTTGAAGGGTGAGCCAGTAGGGAGGCTTGTTCACTCTTTCGCTCGCTCGCTCCATTTCTGTTTCTCTACCTCATAGTAATAAAAATCTAGGAAGAAAATCTTTAGATTCCTTCCAGACTCTTCAGGGAGTAGCTGAAATTCTGATACCATTGCAGATTTCTTTTCTAGTATTTGTGATCCAAGGAGTAGCACAGTGCTTCCTCAGACTTAGATTGAGCATTAATACGAATGGCTTTTCTCAAATTCAATCATAAATTTGAATATGGCCTTCTGAGACGTTCCTTTTCCTTTTCAGGTTTCAAATAAAGGAGACCGAGTAGTAGAGTGTCAGTTGGAGACTCATAATCGGAAAATGGTTACATTCAAGTTTGACTTAGATGGTGACAACCCTGAGGAGATAGCAACAATTATGGTATGTGTTTGCATTTCAAATTTTTCTTTTATACTTATTCCATTGTTCTAGGCAAATAGGAAGTCTTTTATAATCTGTGTTTATCTTCACAATTATGTGTTTCTTTTTGATTTTTTTGGTATTTACCAAATTTTTATTCTCAAGCAGTTTTAGAACTCTTTAGGAGGAGTAATTTATAGAAGCATAATTATAAGTAAGTAAAATAAAAATTAGAAAATTAAGTTAGTTTTAAATTGCATCTCTGTGGAAAGCAATTAATTTTTTTTTCCTATGCATTCTTCCATATGATATTAGCTTGGAAATATTTCCATGTAGATAATAACAGAGCTAAAATTATGACAAAATGATATTGCATGGTTTGACTATATATAATTTATAGTATAAATTTATGAAGCTTAAATCTACTTTTATAAATGTAAAGGCCTGGGTGAGTATCTGTGTGTACTTCATCCTTGGAATAAATCAGTAGGAGTAGAATTACTAGGTTTAAGATGATGTCAGCATTTTCCGTTGTTCATGCATGTTATGTGTTAGGTTTTGTTTTTGTTTAAGTTTTAGTTTTTAACACATTTGTTATGATTTGTAGGTATATTTCCAAGAACATGATGATACTGCGATCATTTCCTTCTATCTTCACTCTCCATTTCTTTGTAGCTTTTAAGATAACATTTTTTTTAAAGATTTATTTATTTTTATTGGAAAGTCAGATATACAGAGAGGAGGAGACAGAGAGGAAGATCTTCTGTCCAATGATTCACTCCCCAAGTGAGCGCAATGGTCGGTGCTACACCGATCTGAAGCCGGGAACCAGGAACTTCTTCCGGGTCTCCCACGTGGGTGCAGGGTCCCAAGGCTTTTGGCCGTGCTCAACTGCTTTCCCAGGCCACAAGCAGGGAGCTGGATGAGAAGTGGAGTAGCTGGGATTAGAACCGGCACCCATAGGGGATCCCAGCACATTCAGGACTGGGACTTTAGCCACTACGCCATGCCGCCAGGCCCTAAGATAACATTTTAAATATACTACACAATTGAATGGCTTAATACTTTACAGAATAAGGAGTTTAACAAGTGAAAAAAGTCAAAAAGACCTGGTTTAGTGGGAACATAGGCAATAGCTGTAAGTAATAATTAAATGAAAAGTGAGCATTTCACACATACACAGCAAATTTTAAAGTGATTGCAGATCTTTGGAACTATTTGCAGCAGTAATGATATACACAGAATTACTTTCTGCTTTGTTTTGTTTTGTTTTTTAATTTTAGCTCCCACAAACGAGGTAGCCTATTCAGTATTTATCTTTCTGGGTTTGCCTTATTCACAACTTATGGTTTGGGGATGTTTTTGTCTAGGATGTGACTAAGCACTAAAGTTCTGCAAAAGGGAAGAGCTAATTCTCCACAAATAATAAAATAGATATAAGTAGGTTCGAGGTCTTGATCATGATGGTCTAATGACTTAAACTTTAAGGAATGTCAAGCTATCCAGACTGACATGACATTTCCTTTACAGGTGAACAATGACTTCATTTTAGCAGCAGAAAGAGAGTCATTTGTGGATCAAGTGAGAGAGATTATCGAGAAAGCTGATGAGATGCTCAGTGAGGATGTCAGTGTGGAGCCGGAGGGTGACCAGGGATTGGAGAGTCTTCAAGGAAAGGAGGACTATGGCTTTTCAGGTTCTCAAGTAAGTTTTCCTTCTCAGAGTGAAGCTTCTTTCATATAAAATGCTACCATGATTTTCACATGTTTGGCAGTTGGCTTTGTCTAATTGTTGAGACTGTTGCTGAACATGAATTTCATTCTTTTGTTTGTTGTAGAAATTGGAAGGAGAGTTTAAACACCCAATTCCTGCGTCTTCTCTGCCTCAGCAAATTGGTGAATCTTTTTGTTCATTTTTACCTTTGACTTGGGGAGTTACATATGCCAGTAATGAAATTATTGAGGCTCCTTGTTGGGAATAATATATATAATAATATAGTGATAAAGTAATTTGCCTTTTGTTGACTAGGTGTTCCTGCCAGCTCTTTAACTCAAGTTGTTCATTCAGCTGGAAGACGGTTTATAGTAAGTCCTGTTCCAGAGAGTCGATTACGAGAGTCAAAAATTTTCACCAGTGAAATATTAGATACGGGTAAGGATTCATTCTACCCTATTCCCCCCCCCCCCCTTAGGATTTATTTATTTTTATTGGAAAGTCAGATGCAGAGAGAGGTGGAGAGAGATAGGAAGATCTTCCGTCCAGTGATTCACTCTCCAAGTGGCCGCAATGGCTGGAGCTGAGCAAATCCAAAGGCAGGAACCAGGAGCCTCCTCTGGGTCCCACGCAGGTGCAGGGTCCCCTGGTTTTGGGCCATCCTTGATTGCTTTCTCAGGCCACAAGTAGTGAGCTGGATGGGAAGTAGGGCCAGAGATTAGAACCAGTGCCCATATGGGATCCAGTACTTTCAAGGTGAGGACTTTAGCCACTAGGCTATGGTGCTGGTCCCATTCTACCTTTATCTTTATGTAAATTATTCCATATCTTTACTATGTTGAAAGCTTGATCATCAAGCAGTTAGTAGTTCATGATAACACTGATTTTTTTTTTAAGTAGAAAATTGAGCTTATATTATAAACAACAAATACACATGGAAGGGAAATACATGGTAAATAGAAAAAGACAAGAAGAAAGAGCATACTTGATACAAACTGTGGTAGATACTGTTTCCTCTGCATTTAGAACTGTTGTATATTCTTTCAGGTAGTATTCCATCCCATCTTTTATCTTCATAGAAGACTGACTGACTTCAAACTGTTGTTGGACCTTGCTCTTTCGAAATCTGTCATTTCCTTAGGAGAGTTCATAAAACTTGTTGGCATTATTTGTTATCACAAAAGAATTTTTGGGACAATCGTGGGAATCCACCCATCTCATATTTCTGTTTCCCTTTGCAGTTGCTGCCTGCACATCTCAGGGCCCTGGAATGAACTTGTCGCACTCTGCTTCATCCCTTAGTCTACAGCAGGCCTTCTCTGAACTTAGACATGCCCAGATGACAGAAGGACCAAGTACAGCACCTCCAAACTTCAGTCAGACAGGACCGTCATTTCCAACAGGTCCTCCTTTCATGAGTAGCGTCGCTGGAGTCCCAACCCCAGTAGCAGCCACACCTTCAGTATCAGTCCCAGCAACAAGCAGCCCTCTCAGTGACGTCTCTACGTCAGTCATCCAGTCTGAGGTTACCGCACCCACTGAAAAAGGGGCTGTTGGTTTTGTCCCTAGCACAGGTTTGATCACTTCAAGTGGTATTCCTGTCCCTGCTGTGTGTGAATCAACTGTGCTTGCTAGTGTTGGTTCAAACATCACAGTACCTGCAGTTGTCTCAATAGCTACAACAGCCCAGTCAGTTCAGGTCCCCGCTTCTGGGGGCTCTGTTTCCAGTACAGGCCCTTTGCCACCTATAACAGTTCCAGTGGCTTCAGTCTCTGCAATTGGCAGCGCGTCTGGCCCAGGTGCTAAGCCTCCAGCTGTATTACCTCAGCAGGCAGCAGGCAGTACCACTGGGATAGCCACATTAACATCACTTCCTCCCACCACTGTATTCCCTGGCTTAGCTTCACAGCCGTCCCTTCAGCTCAGCAGCAGTACCTCTGCTCCTACTCTAGCTGAAACAGTGGTGGTGAGTGCACACTCACTTGATAAAACATCCCATAGCAGTACAACTGCATTGGCTTTATCCCTCTCTGCACCATCTTCCTCTTCCTCTCCTGGAGCTGGAGTATTGAGTTCTGTTTCTCAGCCTGGTGGAGTACATTCTTTGGTCATTCCATCAGCTGTAGTTTCTACCCCTGTCCTCGCCCAAGCAGCAGGACCTACGTCTGTACCTTTATTACCCCAAGTGCCCAACATCCCACCCTTAATACAACCTGTTGCTAATGTGCCTGCTGTACAGCAGACACTAATTCATGGTCAGCCTCAGCCAGCCTTGCTTCCCAACCAGCCTCATACTCACTGTCCTGAAATTGATGCTGATACACAAGCCAGACCTGGAATTGATGACATAAAGACTCTTGAAGAAAAACTGCGGTCTCTCTTCAGTGAACACAGCTCGTCTGGAGCTCAGCATGCCCCTGTCTCACTGGAGACATCACTGGTAGTGGAGACTACAGTCACACCGGCCATCCCAACCACTGCTGTTGCACCAAGCAAACTGACTACTTCCACTACAAGTACTTCCTTGCCATCTACTAATTTGCCATTGGGAACAACTGGTGTACCAGTCATACCGGCGGTTACACCTGGGCAGGTTTCTACACCAGGCACTTATGTTTCAGCCCCAGTCTGCACTGCATCAGGAATGAAGCCTGGAAGTGCTGCCTCAAAACTACCTTTAACTAAGAGTCAGGTAAGATCCTTGTTATACAATAGCTAGGTATGATCACCGTGCTGGTCTCCGTTTTTCAAATTAACATCACAACTTAGACATGTAATTATAAAGGTACCCAACTTTTTGTAGGCACTCGACCGATTGACAGTAGTTTTAGGATGCACACACACATTGAACAAGAGAATTTTTTTAAAAAGATGTATTTATTTTTATTGCATAGTCAGATATATGGGGAGGAGGAAAGACAGAGAGGAAGGTGTGCCATTCGATAATGTACTCGCCAAGTGACCACAACCGCTGGAGCTGATCTAAAGCCAGGAGCCAGGAACTTCTTTCAGGTTTCCCACACAGGTGCAGAGTCCCAAGGCTTTGGGCCGTCCTTGACTGCTTTCCCAGGCCTCAAGCAGGGAGCTGGATGGGAAGTGGAGCTGCCGGGATTAGAACCAGCGCCCATATGGGATCCTGGTGCATTCAAGGCGAGGACTTTAGCCGCTAGGCCACACTGATGGGGCCCTCTTCTTTTTCTTTTAAAAGGTTGTTTATATTTGAAAGCCAGAATGACAGAGGGAGAGAGACAGAGATCATCTACTGGTTCACTCCCCAAATGGCTGCAACAACCAGGGCCGGCTCAGGCCAAAACCAGGAGCCGGAAGCTTCCTCTGGGTCTCTGTGCAGATGAAGGGGCCTAAACACTTTGCCATCTTGTATTGCCTTCCTAGACACTTTAACAGGAAACTGGATGGAAAGTGAAGCAGCTGGTATCCGTATGGATGCTGGCACTACAAACAGCAGTGCTCACAGGCCTGCCCCAGGAAAAGTGTTTTCTTGAGCAAAAACCTGATGTAATAATAGTGTAGCAGAAGTGGCTGAAGAGTTCCTTAACTGTTCCTGTGAGGTGCACGCAGCCTTTGTTTTTTATTTTCCCTAAGGAGGAACCTTTTCCAGTTTTTGGTACTTTTGTAGTGACTTCTATAGTAGAATCATTGCTAATAATCTCCTGTATGTAAGACTGCTGCCAGTATGTAACTTAGGTGATGCTAAACCTGTATTAACTGCCTATATTTTAACCTGATACTTCTGCATTTGAATTAATTGATTTGTTCTTTAATATGAATACTATTAATAGTAGTATCTCATGGGCTTGAATTTCCCCCTCATTGTAGGTGCTGCCAGGGAGTACTGAACTTCCAGCTGGTACTCTACCTAGCGAGCAGTTGCCACCTTTATTGGGACCTTCACCAAGTCAGGTGCCTCAAGACTTGGCCTGTTTCTCTTTCTGTTTCTCTACTTCCTTTATATAGTCTTCATTGCATGGTCTTGGCTCATAGCTCTTTCTTGATTCTGACTTACTAACACCTGCATATGAAAACCATGTAAATCATGACCTGGAACATAGAGTAAGAATCGGCATAGTTTTTCTGTTTATATTACTCCATGGTATCTAGAAAACACTTGCTGTTAATATTTCTTCATATCCTAAGAACAAGATAGAAAATGTCACATTGACATTTCACTACATAAATATTTTAAGCTTTTTTTTATCATTCTTGCTTTTGCAGAATAGTGTAGTGAAATCATATCTTAAATATGAGATTCAGCTGCATGCCATGGTGGAAATAACAATTTATAAATATTCAGAATTAACTTTGAAAGTGACTTGGCAGGCAATGGGGTGCCACATTGATTAGCATATCCTTTCTGTGAATTCAGTACAACAACGTTTTCTTGAATATTTATAACTTTCTTGACCATCTAATGAAATACTGAGCTTTCATATGGATTGGGGGTGATGTTGCATGAAATATATGCTGATCTCTTTCATATAAGATACTTTAATACATAGATATCTGTTGATGTAGCAATGTATTATAGTTTATTATATGAGATGTGTATTATATGTGTATATAGCTATATACACATATTTTATATGTGCTATATACCTTAAATACTGTTCAGGTCAGCAAAATGCTGACACTGTGGGATTTCAGAGAGGAACTGAGATGGGCAGTGGGAGCCGGAGAGCTTCATCTCTCCCTGAACAGTGGTCAGAATTGCCTGCAGTGCATAAACTGTCACTTCCCTTTCCTATCCCACCCCACCATCCCCCAAACCATTGTAAAAATAAAAGGTTTCTGACATAGGACAAGCTAAATGTTAACATAAGAATTTATTTTGGAATTATTAATAAGAAAAACATGGTTAGTTGCTAACATGAAAGAATCCTAGTTTGACTATTCTGCTTTCATACTGACTGATATGCAAAGCATATAAATGTGTGTTGTTTGTCCGACTTTTTAACTTGGAAGTTTGGTTTTTAAAAATTTGTGTTTCATTTCCTAGTTCAGAATAATGAGAAATAGCAAATGAGAGCTGGGAAATATAAATGGGTAGAACTTACATGCAGAGAAGTCTAATGAATAGAACCTGCATGTAGAAGAGCGAGTGCTCAGGCCCCTGCATCCGTTTGCAAGAAGCCCTGCCCTTGTCCTGGCACAGCCTGCCTTTGGAGCCATTTGGGGAGTAAAATAGCAGATAGAAGTCTTCTCTCTCTATATATATATATAACTCTGCCTTCTAAATAAACAAATAAATCTTCAAAAAACATGAAGAGTGATATGGAGCAGGTGCAGTGTATCGCGTGCTAACCCTTTGTCACACCAGCATTCCGTATGGGTGTCGTTTGTGACCCAGCTGTCCCACTTCCAATCCAGCTCCCTGCTAATAGCTTGGGAAAGCAGAGGAGGATGCCCCCATTCCACGTGGGAGACCAGGAAGAAGCTCCTTGCTCCCAGCTTCACACCCACCCAGTTCTGGCCATAGCAGCCATTTGGGGAGTGAATCAGCAGAATGAAAATCTGTCAGTGTCTTACTTTCAAGTAAAATAAATAAAACCTTAAAAGCAAGAAAGGAAAAAGTCGATATACTGTGGCATGGGTAAAAGCCATTGCATTTGATAAGTGGCAAAAACAGATGATTAATAAGATTGAATGCTTAAGACCCCCCCTTACTCCCCACCTATAGAGTAGAAGTGTATATTGGTTAAAAACAGAAGAAAAAAGTTCCTTAAGAATGACAGAACCTATTAATGCAATCTTTTATTCTTAAGGACATCTTCCCATTGTGACTAAACTGCCATCTGAAACACCTGCATCTCATATCTATGGCATCCTATATGGACATCAGTTTGAGTCCTTGCTGTTCCATTCCTATCAGACTTTTTAATAGTGCACCTGGAAAAGTCCTTGGGCCCCTGCATCCATGTAGGGAGATCCAGATGAAGCTCCTGGCCTCAGCCTGGTCCAGCTCTGGCCCTTGCAGCCATTTTGGGAGGGATCCAGCTGGTGGATGATCTCTCTCTCTGACTTTACTTCTCTCTCTGTAGCTCTACTTTTCAAATAAATAAATGTTTGTTTGCTTGCTTATTAGAGACAGGTTCCCAGAAAGGTGTGTAAAACTGAGAAAGAAAATAGGAAACTTAGGAGATGGATATTCTCTCTGCTGGTTCACTTCCCAAATGGCTAGAGGGGCAAGGGCAAAAGTCCCTTCCAGGCTGTGGCCAGAAGCCAGGAGCTTCATTCAGGTCTCCCGCAGGGGTGTTGGGAATCAAGCACCCAGCCCATCTTCCACTTTTTTCCTAGGTGCATTAACAGGGGGCTGGATTGGAAGCGAAACAGCTGGGACTCCACATGGTACCCATAAATGAACACTGGCATCGCAGGCAGTTGCCTAACTGGCTATTTCACAATGCTGTCCCTGCAAAATATATTTTCAAAGGGAGAACAAAAAAGTTTCTGTCACTGTGGGTAATATCAAACATAGAAAATAAGAAAGACTTTGAGACTGTGAAAGCTACTATGTTTTACTCTACTGAAACTGTGGATTACTTAAGTCTTGATAGGTGAACATACAGTATTGAGAAACTGGTGAATCATCAAAGCAGTGTGCTAAAATTAGAATATTGGGTTTTGTATTAATGGAAGACAAAGGTTGTGGCACTAAAGGCTGCAGTAACGTGTTCCATGTAAATTGACTGTGTACAGTGACGTTGAAGGTATTAAAACACAGTGGTTACTGTGATTGTTTTGTTCAGCCTCAGCAGCCCCTGGAAGATCTTGATGCTCAGTTGAGAAGAACGCTCAGTCCGGAGACTGTTGCAGTGACATCTGTGGTCGGCGTAAGTTTTTAAAAGCTTGACAGAATCTTTTTGTAACCTTATTGTGTTATATTTAATGTTCTAACACCTCCTCAGTGTCCTGCTTATTAGAACCAATAGTAATGAAACAGATCAATGAAAATTTAATGCTGCCCCAGTACTGTAACTGTGGAAAAATTTTATTTAAAAGATGCTTTTTGTATCTTAGCTTCTGGTGAGTGATACTGTATCACAGCCCAGAAGACCAGAGAAAAAGCAACAGGGAAAACATTTGAGAACAGCTGCAGGTAAAGCTGTTACTGTGTGTGTGTTTTGCAGCCTGTGTCCACGGTGGCTCCAGCAGCGGGGACAGAAGCAGGAGCACAGCCTCAGAAGGAAGGTGAGACATACATGTCTTCTGTGTCACTACTCAGTGTCCTGCCTGTCCTTGATTTTAGAGATTTACTCTTTCAAAGGCATGTTCTTGACCTTGTTGTACTTGATGGCTGAGAAGTGTTGGTACTGATATTCAAGTTTCAATAGCCTGGAAGTAAAAATAGATATAAATGTAAAATTCCAGTTAATCTAGCAATTAGATTTTGAATTGGTTCTCTCCTTTTAGAAGAAGTCTTTCACAGATTAATAGAATGAACTGGGAAATCTAGAAATGGACACATTTACGGGAATGTAGAATATAAAATCTTAGGCTGTATACCATAAATGTGTGTGTAGAATAAAAATGAATCAGATAATTAAAAGTTTGTGAAATAAGTGGGGAATGTAAAAAGATTTCACATTTTAGCCCTTCAAATTGTTGAGAAAAAGATGAGACATGTGTTGGGCCTAAATTTCTGACCAAAGTGAAAGCTGACTGACTATTGCCGTCTTGTGTGTGTGTGCTTCAGTTTCTCAGGGCACCGGAGGTCCTGTGCCAGCAGCTAGTTCAGGAGCTGGGGTGTTCACGATGGGACGGTTTCAGGTAAGGCAGTTGCTTTTCTTTGCCTTCATTCCCTCTTTGGGGAAAGTTGTGTATAGAGTAAAATGCCCTCCTTGAACCATAATTGCCAGTTCAGTGATTTTTGCTAGCACAGTAGAGAAATGGTGGTCCATCATCTGCCCTCCCCAGCCAAGATTCGTTCTTAAGGTATATTTTCCTTCATTCCTGATTTCCTATGCAAGTGTGTATCTAAAGTTGAACATGTTCATGGATACTTTTTTGCTTTTTTCTGTGGTGGTTAGTTCACCTTGTTGCTCTCTTAATGTTAGGTGTTGCTTCTTTTTTTCTATTAGTATAATAAGTGAAGAACAGTAAACATAAACATCTTCGTCTCTAAACAGTTTTTCATATTTATGGTAATTTTGTAGGTTTAATTCCTTAAGTGAATATACAGAATCATTGTCCCATATGAAACCATGTCAGGTTTATTCTACCACTTATTCAATGAAGTAAGCATTTCTAGCTTCTTTGTGTGTAATGTTAAACAAACTTTGCAAATCTATTCCTTTCATTGTTTCATAGCACTTTGAGATTATTCTCTTACTAGGCCTTGAAGTTGAGGATAGGAAGAAAAAAATTTTTTTTTTCGTTTGTATACTGAGATCCTGTCAGTTAGCCACTGGACTGAGTTTTTGTAATCTTCCATCCACTGGTTTACTCCCCAGATGGCATCACAGCGCAGAACTAAAAGCCAGGAGTCAGGGGCTTTCTCTGGGTCTCCTAAGTGAGTGCAAAGGCCCAAGCCATGGGCCCTCTTTTGCTGCTTTCCAAGGTCATAAGCAGAGAGCTGGATCATGGAACAGCTGGGACTTGAACCAGCATCTATATGAAATGCCAGCAGAGGCTTAACTTACTACCCTACAGGGCCATCCCTAGATCCTCTCTTTAGTATCATGTACTTATTAAGCTTAGCCAGTCCTTCCAAATACATATTTCATTACAGATGTGTTGTACTCCATTGTGATATTCAGTTTAGCTTCACAGTCAAAGATGGAAAGGCTATGTAAAAAACAACCTAAATACTGATTGGAAAATAAAGAGATTACATTTTAATGGTCCATGTTACCAGTTGGATTTTAGGAACTTCCATTTTGTATTTTTGTTTTTTAAAGATTTGTTTATTTTTATTGGAAAGTCCAATATACAGACAGGAGGAAAGACAGAGAGAAAGATTGTCAGTCTGATGATTCACTCCCCAAGTGGCCACAACAGCTGGAGCTGAGCTGATCCAAAGCCAGGAGCCAGGATCTTCTTTGCGGTCTCCCACGCAGGTGCAAGGTCCCAAGACCTTGACTGCTTTCCCAGGCCACAAGCAGGGAGTTGGATGGGAAGCAGGGATGCCGGGATTAGAACCAGCACCCATATGGGATTCTAGCACCTGCAAGGCAAGGACATTAGCCCTAGGCTACCGTGTCGGGTCTGGAACTTCAGTTTTTAATCTTTTTCTTTTTCTGTCAGGTTTCAGTTGCAATGGATGATGCCCAGAAAGAGAGTAAAAGTAAGACAGAAGATACAAAGTCTGTTCATTTTGAATCCAGCACTTCAGAGTCCTCAGTGCTATCATCAAGTAGTAGTCCAGAGAGTACCCTGGTGAAGCCAGAGCCTAAGGGAATGGCCATCCCCAGCATCTCTTCAGGGATGCCACATAGCACCCACACAACACTTATCTCGGAGACACAGTCGGAAACTGGGCAGCCTGCTAAGGTTGGACGTTTTCAGGTGACAACTACAGCAAACAAAGTGGGTCGTTTCTCTGTGTCAAGAACTGAGGACGAGATAGCTGAGGGCAGAAAAGAGGGACCAGTGACATCTCCTCCTTTTATGGATCCAGAACAAGCTATTCCTCCTGCTGCGATACCAAAGAAAGAAAAGCCTGAACTTGCCGAGCCTTCGCATCTGAACGGGCCATCTTCTGACCTTGAGGCTGCCTTTTTAAGTAGGGATGTTGATGAAGGTTCAGGTAGTCCACACTCCCCCCACCAGTTGAGCTCAAAGAGCCTTCCTACTCAGAATCTAAGTCAGAGCCTTAGTAATTCATTCAACTCCTCCTACATGAGTAGTGACAACGAATCAGATATTGAAGATGAAGACCTCAAGTTAGAGTTGCGACGATTACGAGAAAAGTATGTATTCTTCTGTTGGTAGTAATTCTTACCACTATTATCCACTCTTGGCTGTTTATTAGTTTACCAAAGGAATCCATTAATGACACCAGCACATATAAATATGTTGCAGGTTTTGTTAATTATATTTAGAAAATTATGTTAAATACCAAATTAAGCCATCCTATATATATGCTCTCAAAAATCCGAAGATCTCCCCTGATGTATTGTTTGTGATTGACCAAGAGTTTCTGGGGAGTTGGCTTGTGTTGTGGGGATCAGTAAGATGAGTTGACAGATCAGTGCTAGTGTATTTGAATACAGTGTAAAGTTTGCTGTTAGTTCTCATTTGAACAATAATGGTTACAATATTTTGAATTGTTTTATTATGTTTTTAGGCATCTTAAAGAGATTCAAGATCTACAGAGTCGCCAAAAACATGAAATCGAATGTTTGTATACCAAACTGGGCAAGGTTCCCCCTGCTGTCATTATTCCCGCAGCTGCTCCCCTTTCAGGAAGAAGAAGGCGACCCACGAAAGGCAAGGGCAGCAAGTCTAGTCGTAGCAGTTCCTTGGGGAATAAAAGCCCTCAGCTTTCAGGTAAAAGCCCTCAGCCATCCTTCGTTTCTGTCTTCAAACTGTGCATGTAACTAACCTATTTGTTATTTTTGTTAAATTTCAAAGGTGTTTGTCTTTCCTAATATTCTTGCTTCCTTCCCTACCACTGTATTTAGTGTACCTCTTTTTGAGTCTGTGGAACTAGATTGGCCAAGTATTTGGCCCTTTAGCACACACATGGGATACCTGGAAGAAGTTCCAGGACCTTGGATTTGCCTGACCTACCCATGGACAATGTGGCCATCTGGGGAGTGGGCCAGTAAATGGAAGATCCATCTTTGTCTCTCCATGTCTCCCTCTCTATTCCTTTGCCTTTCAGATAAATAGAAATAAGTCTTTTAAAGTATGTGTGTGTGTGTGTGTACACACACACACACACACACATACACACACATAACCTTGCCTGTTAACTTACATAACTCAAGTCTAACCAAATTTGGACAGTTGGGAGAATACACTGTATCCTTCCTTTTAATAAGTCGGTCAGAATTGCAGCTGGACTGAATGCAAATGCCGTATCAGTGCTTGCATACGAACCAGTGATGATTTCCTTGGATAACTTTTTTGGGGGATTGCCCTTGTTTTTAGTTTGAAAGACGTGCACTGTTTGTTCTCCAAATGCCTGAGTGCCAGCAGCTCAATTCAGGTCTCCTCTTTGTATCCAAAGGGGGTTGTGCTGTCACCTCTTCTATCTCCCAGGGTCCACATTAGCCGGAAGCCGGAGTGTGGAGTGGAGTCAGCAGTTGAAGTGAGGCACTCCCCTGTGGCTTGCCATCTCAATGACTGAGTCAGATGCCCCCTACTGCTGTTAAAACCTTTTATTTCATTTATCTTTATTGTGAAAAAGAATTTGGTAATGATTGTAATCAAATAGTTAGATCATAATCTCTTATGATGGGTTATAATTTTTATATATTAATTTAAATGGTTTTTAATCTTAAAATCTTTTAGTGTTAACAGATAAGTTAGTTAAGAGGGCTAACATGGATTTTGTTTCATATTGATCTCCAGATCTAATTTAAATATGTTGAGAGCAGTTTCAAATTTCTTAGCAACCCTACATTGTTAGAAGACTTTATAGATGCCCAAACCTGTTCTCCAGCATCTGAGGACTAATTCACAAACCCATTAGCAGTGTTGTGATGATTATAATGGAATTCAGCTGGTTTAGGTTGCGATCCCAACTTTGACATACTTCTTGAGTGGACTTCTATTCAACTAGTAACTGGAGAACAAGCAGGTAGTTTTTAGGATGGTTGGTTTATATTGCAGCAACTACCAATATTTATAAATACTAATTATTCTGTACCTACCTATATCTTTTTGACACCTTTTGTGTCTGCTTTTCTTCCTTTCCTCCCTCCTTTTACTTGCGAGACAGAGCGCTCCTGTCCACTAATCCGCTTCCAAGATGCCCAGTGACTGAGACCAGGAGCCTGGTACCTGAGCCAGTACCTCCACTAGCTCCTCTTTTGTGTTAATCTCTTGGCATTTTCACAAAAAAGCAGACTGTGGGGGAAAAAATTCTTTACCATGATAAGCATCTTTTCTAAAAGACAAAAGAATGATTGTGTGTCACCCCTTCCTTGCCCTTCTGTAAATGAAGGCCGTATTTGAATGGCACCTGCATATATTTTTCCTTATGCTGCTTTACTCCTTTTTGGCAGGTAACCTGTCTGGTCAGAGTGCAACTTCCGTCTTGCACCCCCAGCAAACCCTCCACCCTCCTGGCAACATCTCAGAGACCGGGCAGAATCAGCTGTTACAGCCTCTTAAGCCATCTCCCTCCAGTGATAACCTCTACTCAGCCTTCCCCAGTGATGGTGCCATTTCAGTACCAAGCCTTTCTGCTCCAGGTCAAGGTAAGAAATCAAAGCTTTGCCATCATCTTCCACAAACACAGAAGTGGAGCTCTTGCCAAACCTAGGACAAAAGCCTGATGAATAACCTGTCATTAGGTGGGTCAGGTGATCAGCTGACCGAGGCATAGCCTGTGTGTTTTATGCTACACGAGAAATGGAGCCATGGCTGGCATCAGTAGACTCATCAGGTGAAGTAGCTTTTCTTCAAGAGATTATGATGAAAATATCTGTCTGCAACCAATATGAGCAACTCATTTGGGATTTTGAACTTCAGCTAAATGCTAGACAGATTTTTCTTGGCAAAATCCTGGAGAGTTATAGCAGTTTCTGAAAATTAATTCACTTTTTGTCCCATGTAGACGTTTTAACTTTCTAGTCATGAGAACATCATTACGAAAAAGGCCTTTAATACATTTTTTTGTCAGTGATCTAATTTCCAGTTATAGCTTTGTTTATTACTGATAAGAGCATTTCGGCAGGAGAAAGAACTTCACATTAGTGTTAAGCAAGAGTTGAGAGAGTTGATTGGGTGAAAAAAAATGAAAAATTAAAAAAAAAAAAAAACGGGCCACCTTGCCACAATTTCCTAGAAACTAACTGATCTTGTCACAAGGTGCTCAGTTGGTGAGCATCACAGCCTGGCTCGCGTTATGGCAGTTGAGAAAAGCTTCAGCATTTTCCAGATGGAACTGAGACCTGATATTTCTTGTCTGACCTATCTGCACATTCCCCAGAAGCTTATTCTTCTGTGTGCCATCTTAGTGCATTTCACCACTTCAGCCTCGAGTTTCTAACATCTTGTAGTTGTGTTCTGTCTCTTCTCCTCTCTGTTCTCCCCTGTTTTCCCCCTCTCACAGGCTGTGCGAAGTTTAACTGTGCATCTGAACAGGTGACATTCAAACCTGGTGGCAGGAGGACCCGATTTCTGAGTACGCCCTGCTTGGCTCTTTGTGTGTAACACCTTTACTCCTTCCTTGTCCTTGCTCTTCTGCTGCTTGAATCTGATGTTTCACACTGTCCCTTTTCATTTGTCTCTGTGTATCACCTGCTCAGTGGCTTGGCTGACCTAGTGTTACCTTCGGAAGTTTGGGTCTCAACATTACTTATGGTAAAAGATGAATAAATAATTGTATGTTTCTGTACATTTCAAAACAATTTTCTAGTAGAATTGCTTCTTTGGAGATCCCTTATAGGGGAGAGATAGGGTGACAGCTGAGCTCCACAGCCATGTTCAGCACAGACTCCTTGCCCTCGCAGAAGGCATGCCAGCCACGGAGGCACTGAGTCCCCTCAGCAGGAAACACCTGTCATGGCTTCTCCATTCTGTTCAGAGTAGGCTGGAGTAATTTTTTTCTCCTCAATTATGCTTAATCAAGAGACAGAATCTCTTCATTGGATCCATATAGAATCACTGCCCTCTGAGCCCCATAAAATCAGACAAAATCTCTTCGTATAATTGGTGACTGAACAGAATTGTGAATGTGATTATCCTTATAAAACATCAAAGCCTGGCATCTCCAAGTGAAAATTGTCTTTTTAACGTGATTTTTAGAATTTCTTGGCTTTATATGTAAAAATAAGGCACGGTAGTAAGTCACTTTATCTTCGCTGTCAGTGGAAAGAAAACAATGCCTGTTTCCCAGGCTGCTGTGCGCCTCGGATCAGCCCGCCTGGCTGGACAAGGGCAGTGCCGCCTAGCACGCACTGAGGGCTTCCTTTGGACACGCCAGTGGCTGCCAGGTACACGGTCTGTGGTCAATGCGTGTGTCCTGAAATAAAATTCTTAAAAGCAAATCTCAAATGAAGAACCTTTGTTAAAGTTTGGATCACTGTTTGTTAAGGCCTCAAACTTCTGGCGTGGTTATTGAAGTGCTGTTTGATTGCATGTGCTAAGGCCATCAATGTTTCCGAAGACAGAGCAGGGATCCCTGGGCCTCTTTGTGGTGGGAAAAAGGTACTCTCCCCTTGTCTGGCGACCAGATTTAAAGGGAATAACAACAGACCCGCCTTTATGCATGACATCTCCATGTACCTGTCTGCAAGCAGAGACAGAAAGAGATCTGTCTGCTGGCTCACTTCCCTTCCTCCCCCACCCCCAAATCCTGCAGCAGTTTTAGGGGTGACCAGGCCAAAGCCAGGAGCCAGGAGCTCAGTCCTGGCCTCCCACGGGAGCCTTCCGTGGCTCCTAGTGCGTGCACTTGCCAGAAGCTGAAACCCAGGAGAGAGGGTAGGCACTGTGGTGTCAGATGGGAGCCATCTGCTGTCCCACACGAAGCATTACATTGAACTTCCACACACGCATTGGTTCTCTAGTTGCTTTATTCTTTCTCACCAGCGTTAGTAGTAGACGGGCTCTCCCTGAAGTAAGCTCTCACTGCCTTCTCCCATGCGGCACAGGGCCAGGGCTGCAGGAGGGTGGAAGGGCACTGCTCGTGCTGGCAGGTGCTTGGGAGGAAAGGGGACCTTTTTGGTTTTATGTTTTTGTTTCTTGAGCACTGAGATCAATAATTTTTCTGATCAAACTCTCCTGAACCATGCGTATTAGCACCTTGACGCCTTAATAAGCACTTAATTTATGCGTACAGCTAAAAAGATAAAATATCAGATGTAGGAGAGTACTGTGCCACCTGTCAGGCCGAGAGGTCTGAGAGGGAAGGACGAGAACCGACGCTTCCTTTTTTGAAGTGTAATAGGGCTAGCATCGCCTCGATTCTGCAAATTCTCATCACGCTTGTGAAGGTAGGTGATATTTCCCCTATTGTTAGGTGAAAGTGGTTAGAATTATTCAACATTGTCAGTTTTTTGCATCTGAATGTGAGCCCCTACATCTGTGAAAGTCACAGGATCCGTTATGTAACCCTGGGGGGGTTGACGTACTGGTTTTGGATGCCTTATTCTATGCTGTCAAGATAGTTAATGATTTGGAAGCACGGCTTGGCTTATTGCTCTATTTGTTTAGAAATTGCTTGTTTTCCACATACTGCTGAAAGACTTTTCTGGAAGGTCTAAGATGTGGAAATATAATAGCCCATTTAAATTTGAATTAACTTAAAACTGTAGCAGTGGTCCTAAGTTGAGTGCTTTCTAACAACCCAGCAGGAGAAACAGAAAGTGGGACAGGGTCCTCAGAAACACTGCCTGAATGCTTGCAGCTCAAACAGTGCGCCCTGAGAGGCTGAGTTGCTTCACCCTCCTCGGTGCAGAGTGAATGTGTGTCAGCTGGGAAAAAGCCCGTCAGGAAACTGCAGACTGAGAACACACTGGCAGACCACAGTGAACTGTGTGTGCGTCAGGGCTGCCAGGCCCTACCTGTCTGTCTCCCCTCCTGTTCTCTCTTGCTGGGTCTTTGTGTGCTGTGTGGATTCTAAAGATTGTACACTGATGTTTTTGTTAACACACTGCTCTCTCTTTGTGCTTCAGGGAAGATGGTGAAAAAAGTCTGTCCCTGCAACCAGCTCTGTAGTAATTATCCTCTTTGTTGTGTTCTTTGATTGCAAAGCCTGTTACCCACGAGGTCTCTGAGCTCTGACCGCCAACTTCCGTCTCTGCACCCTTTTCTAACACGCTTAGCTGCTCACCACTGGCTGTACTTGCCGATTGAGAAAGCACCTCAGAGTCAGTGCTCAGTGAGGACTCCTGGGAGCCCCGCTCACACAGTCCTGGGTTGGTGACGCCCTTAGATATGTACGGGGGGGTTAGAGAACCCTGGCTCCTGCAGGAGAGAGACAGAACTTTAATCAGCAAATGTGTGCCTGTCACTGGAAAGTTAATAGCAATCAAAGCATTGACATTGAAGTGGGAGAAGCCTGCTGGGTTGGTGAGAGGAAAAACACTATTTGTTATGGTTTGGTTTCTCCCATGGCGCTTTCTCTTTAGATTACAGATAATTTAACAGCTCGGCAAAGCAACTATACAGGATTGATAAAACTCTAGATATAGAATATCGGGTGATGGATACACTTTGGTTTGTAAAATGTATTGTTGCTCTCTGATGATACAGAAAAAAATGTATTATGGTGGGAGAAGGAAATAAAAAAATTATTTTGGGCCAGTAGACTGTATACTGCTCCCCAGGACTTCTCAGAACTGACACAGATATTAAGGATAATTTTAACACCCTCTCTAGAAGGCAATCAGATCTTGCCTTGGGAGTTTATTTCTGGTCACAAAGGGATATGTGTTCACACACACACACACACACACACACACACACACACACACTCTCTCTCTCTCTCTCTCTCTCTCTCTCTCTCTCTCTCTCTCTCTCCTCTTTTGTAAGACCTTTATTTAAAAGGTACAGTTGGAGAGGAGAGACAGAGGGAGCGATCTCTCACTGGGTCACACCCCAAATGGCCTAAAATGGCTGGGGTTGCCCAGGTCAAAACCAGGAGCTCCTTTTGGGTCTCAAATGGGTGCTGTGGCTGACGCACGCACTTGGGCCCTCCTCTTCCATTGCTTTCCCAGCGTGATAGGAAGTGGAGCAGCCTAGCCACGAACTGGCACCCATATTGGAATGCCAACACGACACCACAGTGCTAGCCCCCCCCCCCCCCACGCACCTTTATTTAAAATAAAAACATATATATTTGAAAGGTAGAGTTAGAGAGGGAGAGAGATCCTCCTGGAGTGATGGCTGTCCCTTGGGTCAATCCCCACTTGCAGAATCCAGTGTCAGTAATGTAGGCAAAGGGACCCCGCACCATCGAGCAGACGAACGCCGAGACCGTAGAGGTGTGATCCCAGCACGAGTGCTTGGTGATTGCGTAGTGCTCACCTTCCTGGGCCCATGCTTGTGACTTCTGTTAGTTCACTGGGTCATTCATCAAGCTCACAAACAGTAATCCTTGAGCAGGATGCTGTCCTCACGCATGGGGTGTGCTTGCTGTCTGCATTCCTGCACGTGCTTGCCCGCACCATCGCCTCTGCTTCCCGCCTCACCACTGCCTCCTGTCTGCTACTTGAGGAAGGCTGTTTCCCGTGCTTTTCTCCTTCTCCAGTTGGGTTTCCAGTGCTGTAGTGGAGTTGTCCTTCCCTTTACACTGTCTATGCAATAACAATCCCTTTGTGACTCCAGTGGGCACCAAGCCAGCTGACACTCACACTGCAGGAGTTCCCCGTCTTGCCATGGGTGTAAGAAGCATGTCACCTTCCTCACACTGCAGCTGCACTCCGGGATTAGCTATTTTTAACACAGACACGCTTGTGTGCGCCACTGCCTGGGCAGTGAGACGCAGCGGTGGGTGACAGAGGGCTTGTGAGTGCACCGGGTGTGCTGCTGTGCTTGGACCTGACAGCAGGGAAGTGCATGTACTGGCCGGAGCCCCTGGCGTCACTTGGATAATCTGAGGCCTTGTAGCTCACAGCTTATTGGAGTAGCTTTTGTTCTGCAGCAAATGTGTGAGATGTGGTAAGAAAAGGGCGGGGGGGGGGGGGTTAGGCAAGAACGAAAGCCGAGACCATGACACTTGTTTCCCTCTTCCTCGAAACTCGCTTCTTCGAACGCTCCCCAGTGTGCCCTCCGGCAGAGCCCAAATCAGGCAGGACACGGACTCCTTCCTTCTGCATCAAACCGTAGAAACCGAACGGTATTCATGGTTGAAGACTCAGAAAAGCTTCCCCCTTCCTTTGTGCACCCCTAAATGCCTCATGCTGGTTGGAATATGCCTCGATGCTTGTAGTCGGAGGTGACTTTGCGGGTAACCTGGGATGGCAGGTAGGGATGGGGAGGTTTGAAAAAGCCTGGAAACACTAGGAAAAATGGGAGCTCATAGCCAGGTAGTGCATGGAGGTTGAGGATTCAGGCCAATTTCATACAATTCCCGGTATCCAAAGAGGGGCCTTTGATAGTCTCGTCGAGATCAGAGAAGCCAGTTACGTACAGGGTAAAGGCCTTAACGCTGCCAAATTGTGGTGTGGTGTACACGAAGGTGACGGGTAGGGTTGTTAAGACCAACCTTTGTGGATCAGAGAGATGGGTATCATTTACGTTGATAGAGAATTTAGCCACGAAAGGGGACTTGTAGGTGGTAAAGCTTTGGGGCTGTGGTGATGTTAGGAGCCCCCTCTGTCCTTTGGCGAAGGGACCTATGATAAGCATAGTGGCTGGACCTTAGCTGGTGACGCTCCTCAGTGCACAAGACGCTGGGCTACCTGGCTGCATTGCCAGAAAGCTTGCGGCAGGCAGGGCTGCTTCGTTGAGATCCTCTAACGAACGCTATACGTGATAACGTTGACGGATGAGAATAGGACAGGTGCCGAGATGTTGGTATGGTGGTAATGGCCCCTGACCACCAAGCCTCGCCTAGTTCAGTTTGTGTCACCGAGTTTACCAGCCGTACCCTTAGCAGCTAGGGAAGTGGAACCTGATTTTCTTTATACCGTAGTCTAACAGTTACGTCGTAAAAAAGGCCAAATATGGGACTCAGAATCTTCCGTTGCCATGGCAGGGCGTCCCATGGTCCATCCATTGCCCAGCGTGCTGTGGCCAGCATTCAGTTCATTCACTGGGAAGGATTCCCCACGCCGCATGGCGCCACATTAAGCCGGGTCTTACCTATCAGCTAACCCTTAGTGGTACCAGCTGAGCACATAACACGGTTGCAGGGACAGTGAACAGCCAGGCTGCGCCAGCTCAGCCTCCTGCCGGGACCTCCAGCAGGAAGGGCACATTCACCGATGACCTGCACAAGCTGGTGGACAATTGGGCCCGAGAGGCACACATGATTCATTTGGATCAGGCAGGAGAAGGAAGCAACAGGGCACATTGAAGTTAGGAGGTAAGGTTCCCCGTTGGGGCGACGTTACGTACCAACTGGGGAATCCATGCTATAGATCACCTGGATCACAGGAGGCAGGAAGCGGAATTGCAGTTCTGTGTACTATGTAGGAAGGTCTGCAGCTTTGAGCGGGGCTAATGGGACGTTGGGAAGAGGGAGTGCTCAGTTGTTGAGGGTTTATTTTGTCATTTCATTGAAGAGCAGAGAAATACAGGGCAGGGGTGGGGACAGATCTTCAACCGATGGTTCACTCCTCAAATGGCCATGCCAGCCAAGGAGCCCCATCCTGGTCTTTATCTTAGGTGACAGGGACTCGAGTATTTGAACCTTTCCACTGCTTTCTAGGCATGTTAGCAGAAGCTGGTTTGGAAGCAAATCAGCCAGGGCTCAAACCACTGCTCCCATATGAGATGCTGGCATCTACTGTGGTCGATGCCAGACCCATTGGCCGCCACTTAATGAGCTAAGTTTTTGCTAACCTTTCCTCCAATATCCTAAACTTTATAAGCACAGGATATACACATAACATCCCTCTTCTTCCTATTTGGCAATTACAGAATCAGTAAACATAATGGAAGTTTTTATTTTGCTCTACTCTGTTAAATTAAAACAGTGTCAAGCCTAGTATTATTTTAGTACCACCTGTTTTATACCCATTGGTGTTGTGCCCCCACCAAACTTTACATGTAGTTGTTTTGTTTCCAGGGCCCTGGAATGGCAAGGAAGTTCTCTGCACCTGGGCAGTTGTGCATCTCCATGACCTCGAACCTGGGTGGCTCTGCCCCCATCTCTGCAGCATCAGCTACCTCTCTAGGTCACTTTAACAAGGCTATGTGCCCCCCACAGCAGTACGGTTTTCCAGCTGCCCCATTTGGCACTCAGTGGAGTGGGACGGGTGGCCCAGCACCACAGCCACTTGGCCAGTTCCAGCCTGTTGGAACTGCCTCCTTGCAGAACTTCAACATCAGCAATTTGCAGAAATCCATCAGCAACCCCCCAGGATCCAACCTGCGCACCACTTAGTCAGACCTAGAGGCGGGAGACGGAATGCTGAGGGAGGCTGGGGCGGGGGAGGAGCCTGTATACTAACTGCTAGTGCTGCGTTTCACTGGCTCGTTCTCGCCAGAAGGGAGTATTTGTAACACCGCTTTGAGCCCTCCGATTGGAACCTGTCCCTGCCCTTTTGATTTTCGGTGGGACTGGGAGCAGAAGGAAGCAGCCGCTGTCTTGGCAAGGGCAGCTTCGACTCTGCTGCCTGCGCCCAGAGGTGGGGGCACTGGTGGAAGCTACCAGAGAGCTCAGCGTGCACCCAACTGGGGGAAGCTCTCAACTGTGGTACATGCCCCAATCCCTCCCTTCCTCAGAATCCAAACCACATGATAAAGCTACTGGGCTCTCTCCCTCCCCGCCCTCTGTCTCTCCTTCCCCCACCCCCCTTAGAACCCAGTGAAAAACACCGGGGGACTGGGGCTGCAACCCTTTGTTACGAGATAGGTCATTAGTGCTTTAAGCAAAAAATATTAGCAGCTTTGACTGCAGCATTAGCAGTTAGGAAAAAGAAATGAAGTTCCCTGCGGACATGTAACTGCCATCAGTTTTGATGTGGAAACACTGTGATATATAAATGTTGTTGGACAACAGTAGTTTTAAGAGTAAAATATGAAAGATTTAAAAAGCCCCCCGCCCAAAAAAAGCTAGCTCTGTCCTTTACTTATTAAGACACTTTAACTTTTTCCTTTGTATTCCCATTGTATTAGATAAATAAATGTGAATGTAAAATTGTATAAATTACTGTACTTGAATACTTCTGTTCTCCCAGTATTGCTTGCTGGACATTTTAGTGCCTTGGACTTCCATTGCTTCTGCCATTAGCATCAACTTACCAGACCCCAGATCAGCAAGGGCACGTGGAAGGAAACCTTAGGTCCTCGTGACCCCAACAGTGGAAATGCCAAAGGGAAACTGAAGCATTTGTTGTTTTGTTTTGTTTATGTTTTTGTAGACATCAGCAGTTTTGTCTGAGCAGGTGGAAGATGAGTAGGTGAGAAGCGAAGTGGACGTCAGTGGTTACGAGCTGTCTGTTTCAAGAATAGTGAGGGAGAATCGGGCCATTTCAGAGATGAGCAGATTGAGCTGGATGGCAGACTGAAGCGTGGGCAAACAGACGTGTGTGCCTGGCCAGCGACTGTCCTAACCTAACCCTTATGCGTCTGAGCTGGGCTTGAACACACAAGACTGAGTGGGTACTGAACAAAGAGAAGGGGACAGGCAACAGTTGCAAGTTGGAAAATGGGATTGTCAGCATCCCAGATGGCAAAAGTTCCTCTAAGAAAAACCACGTGGCTTGCTTTCCTTTTGATGCTGTGACCGTGTGTTTCTCGGCTTGAGGGAGTAGACCCACTTCTGAATTAGCATTAAAGGGAAGAATGCATATTCCTACCCTTTCCTCTGCAATGTCCAAATGTGGTTGCAGGATCTCAATCTAACGTGCCACCATTTTTTCTAGAGTAACTAATATTTTCACATCTTCATGTAAATGTTCCCATTAAATTGTAACTGCAACCAGCCAGTATTATTTAAAGTTATGCCTAGTTGTAACGGGCTGTTGTGTTTTCAGAGTTTTCCAGAAGTGCTGTGCTCACTGGCTGTGTTTGAGCTCTCTTTCTCTGAAGATGGAGAAGGAATGAGCACTCTTAGGGGTGCTTCTTACGACTTAGTTGAGAACTTGACCTGTTTCCAGCCTTCTGCTCTGCTCAGCAGCACATCTCCAACACGTCCAGGCTGGAGGAGCGTCGCTGCTCCCCACACGCTGTCCCTTCGTGCTCAGGCTCAGAGCCTGGACATGGTCGTAACAACTGCAGGTTTCAGGAAGGTAGAAATGAGGAGAGAGGTGTCGAGGTCTGCTTCCCAACTGTTGGCTTGCCCTCTGCTTGAATCACTGTGGTCGCACTGGTGCCAAGGAGATGGGCAGCGGGTGCCAGACGTGAGCCGGCACCCGGGAGCAGGCAGGGCAGCCAGGTGCAGCGCAGTGGTGGTCTGTTACTTTGATTTAAACATTTTGAAATCTTCTCACTCATACCAACAGTAAGAACTGGTTTCATTTGCTATTGGTTTCCCCTCCTGTGGAAGTAGTAACTGAAGCCTAGAGGAATGAACTAGTGCTACTGAACTGTTTAAATTATTTTTGTTAATAATACACTTTGACTATCTTTTTCCACATTTAAAAAAAAAACTTTCTGAATTATATGTTTTCCTTACATTATTTAACAGTGTACACCATCGGGGGTTTCGCAGCAGCCGTTCCTGTACATTTTGCACTAACTCTGGGTGTGGCGCTCCTTGTAAGATTGCGCTTTGTGCTTCAGTTTGTTACCTTTGTAGAACTTATTTAATGAAACCGTTCAAATAAACCAAACTCGCTTTTGTTGAGCTCTGGGGTTTTGTCTCATTGGCTGTATTGGGAGTTGTGTGCAAAGTTCCTAATTTGCAGGAACTGTTTTTAGCATAAAATTTTGCCCTGTCCTACAAAGGTGATTTTTTCTTTCTTTTTTGGAGGACAACAATAAGCATACCAAAACCAAAAAATGAACATATGACCAAACCCACGCGACGACAAAGTCACGCTTAAGACGAAGAGAAATGTGGGCAGCCTGCTACCTCGTCCTGTTCCAGAGAGGCCTGCGACGAGCCAGCGTCGGGCCCTCGGAAAGCCCCTCCCAGCTTCACGGCTTCCCACGCGGGGAGGGTGTGTGCTCCAGAGTAACCGCTTTGTCTGCCAACGGCTCAGCCCTTACAGCACTTCACAGAGTAGAACTCAACTCCCCGAGGAAAGCGCTGTGAGGCGTCAAAAACCAGAAGCCACTTTACGTGAAGGCAGGTTACATAACAGCTGCAAGAGGGAAACTAAATCAGCTCCTGTTGTTTGGAATTTTCTTAAAAAATAATTTACTTCCATAAATGCCTTTCTAGTCTGGGTCACAGTCTCCTTAGGGTGGTCTCCTTAGGGTGGTCCTGAGTGCAGGACTCTGATGTCACAAACCCATAAAATAGATTGTACAGTAGTGCCCCCTTACCCATGGTTTTGCTTTCCATTCTTTCAAAAGTAATTTTTTTTTTAATAAAGATTTATTTTACTTGAAAGAGACATTCATCTGCTGGTTCATTCCCCAAGTGGCCACAGTGGTTGGAGCTGGGCTGATCCCAAGGCAGGAGTGCTGCCTCTGGGTCTCCCACGCAGGTGCAGGGTCCCAAGGCCTTGGGCCGTCCTCTATTGCTTTCCCAGGCCATTAGCCGGAAGCTGGATCCCGAGTGGAGCAGACGTGACTCGAACCACCACCCCAGGCCTGTTCATCTGCACTGTCCTGAGTGGGGCATGCAGGTGCGCCCGGGGAAGCCACACCATCCTGGCAGCACCCCCAGCTAAGTGACCTTTCCTTTGAGGTGCAGGCGTGGTGATGCAGGTCACCCAGACATGCCAAGGAGAACTTGTCAACGTGAAAAGCTGAACATTCTCACTGATGAGGAGGGATGGGAGTGCTGAAACTAAGGATTCGAAGGGCAGAGAGAAGCAGTGCGCGTATCTGCTAGCTCACTCCCCAGAAGACCCCACGCCCCCCGGAGCTGGGGCCGAACCAGGCCAAGGCCAGGAATCCGAGCTCCGTTGGCTCCCACACAGGTCCCAGGGCCTGAGCACTTGAGCCGTCCTCTGCTGCCTTCCCAGGCGTGTGAGCAGAACAGCCAAGACTTGAACCACTGCTCCAGCGTAAGACGGCAGCTTCTTAAGTGGTGGCTTAACCTGTGAGCCCCGCAGCCGGTTTGCTGGTGAGACTGAGAACGTCAACCTGCAGAAAATGAAGCCAGAGTGCCTGCGGGTGCCAGTGGGTTGGCTCCTGGGGTTCCAGGTGCCCCCGGGTGTCCCAGAACTCATGCCTCAGCAAAAGGAGACTGACAGAGCCAGCAGCGGGGCAGGGGAGGGCGGCTCAGTGAAAAGCCAACACTGCTTCGAGGCAGGCGGCTGCTGGCGAGTCCTAAAATGTCTCTTTATTAACACAGCTGAATAGAACAAACACTGAGACAGCCTTTGGGGCCCGAGGCAGGAGCTTCATCGACCCGGAGCCTTGCCACCGCGCTGAGCCACGACTCCTCTAGGTCCCCGGCTTTCCCGCAGCGCCCCGACGGCCAGCCCACCGGTTCGGTTCGGGAGGAACCAAGGTAAACCCTGGGAAAAGTTCATTCCTCAGAACTGCGAAGTACTACAAGTCCCTTCTGACAAACCCCAGAATCGCGGCCCAGGCCTCAGGATGGCTCCAGCTTCCTTTTCTTCATGTCCTGGCTCTTCCTGTCCGAGTTGTAGTTTCCTGTGGGCGACACAGGGATGACCTGTCACTGCCATGACTTTAAACTAAGGAAGAAGCTGTTCTACCCGGGAGTCACATTGGGTCGTGCTCATCATTTAGAGTAAAAGCCCGAGAATGGCATCACTCGTGGCACGCTCACACGCGGCCTGCTGCCAGCAGCAAAGACCAGGAGTCGGGAGCTCTGAGGGAAAGGAGCTTAACCATCAGCTTAGCATTTCTTAGCACCTTACAATAATCCTATCTGGGCCCAGTGCAATAGCCTAGTAGCTAAATCCTTGCTTTGCATGCACTGGGATCCCATACGGGCAACAGTTCTAATCCTGGCAGCCCTGCTTCCCATCCAGCTCCCTGCCTGTAGCCTGGGAAAGCAACCCAGGATGGTCCCAAGCCTTGGGACCCTGCACCCACGTGGGAGACCCAGAAGAGCTCCTGGCTCCTGACTTCGCATCAGCGTAGCTCCGGCTGGTGCGGTCACTTGGGGAGTGATTCAGTGGACAGAAAGATCTTTCTGTCTCTCCTCTCTGTAAATCTGATTTTCCAGTAAAAATTTTTTAAGTCTTTTAAAAATATCCAATTTCTCATTCAGGTTCAAGACACATTTATTTGAAAGATGGAGAGACAAGATCTTCCATCCAATGGTTCACTCCCCAGTTGTAACAGCCAGGGCCGGGCCGGGGGCCGACAGCAAGGCCTCCCCAGGCTTGGCAGGAAGCTGGACGGGAAGCAGAGCACCTGCGACTCCAACACCCAGCTGGCTAACACGCTGTGCCACCATACTGGCCCCATATTCATCCATTCCTTTTTATGTGAAAGAGAAAAATCTCCCACCTGCTGGTTTGCTCCCCAGATGCTCTGAACTGCGGGGCCGGGTCACAACAAAGCCAGGCCACTGTCGCTGTCCCCCAGGACACACAGGAGCAGGAATGGCCTACCGCTAAGCACCTGTGTGCAGCGCCTGCTCACAAAATGGCACCCTTGCTTGAAGGATGCACAGGATCAAATCCAGGCGGTCCCTTTTATTTTGTTGCTGAACGCTCCTCTAGGCTACCTGTTCCGTGCTGGTCAGTGCCAAGCCCCTGAGGGTGCCAGGGTGCAGACTTGGTGGGTTGCTTCTGCTGGCAAAGGCTGTGGGTGCCCCTGCGCCAGGTCTCCAGCTCGACCTTCGGGGCGGGAGTGGCAGAGGCCTGGGCTGGCTGCGCCCCAGGCCACGGCCTGATGACATCGTCCAGGATATCCGGCGTCTCATCCCACAGGTCCAGGTTTTCGTCCAGGTTCTCTGCAAAGGCCACGGAAAGCATAAACCTCAGCATAACGTCACACCGAGTACTGGGAAGGGGGCGGCTCCCGGGGTCCCCCACCCGCACGCACACTGAGGCGCTCCCTGTGCTCCCACTCGGGACCCCAGCAACCCACTTTGGGTCTTCCACTTCTCAGTCTCCCTGGGGCCAGGGAACGGACCTGCGAGCCCCGCACAGGGATGCGCTAACGCAGTCAGAGGTGGTACCTGCAAGGGAATCTTTCTCGGTGCCAGGTTCAGAGACGGCAGGTATGGGCGTGCTGTGTGTCACGGGGGGAGCAGGGAGCGCCCCTGGGGTTCACGAGAGGGGGAAAGACAAGTCAGACACAAACACACAGCACCCACGGCTCACTCCTGAGGCCCAGGCCTGCCCTAAATCCGAACCCATGGAAGCCATTAACCATTATTTGAACAAACTGAAGCAAGAATGCAACGTGTAAGACAAGCAAAATGAAGGCCCTGGCAGTCTGCTAGGGGGTGGCACAGGTCCTGGAGGCCGACCTCCCCCGCCCCATCAGCAAAGCTCAGCCCACAGGAGGTTCCTGATACAGCACATGCAACTGAGCCCTCTGACTCCCAGTCCTGCAGGGCAGTCTCCGCAGAGCTCCTGTTCCAACCCAGCCCCGCCTACTGCACAAAGACCACCAGGCCTGCAGCGGAATGCTCTCCACCCTGACCTGTCAGGCGCTTCCCCTTCCCTAAACAAGATGGGCTGTCCCATCACCCAGCTCCCTCCTCCGGTCCTTCTCTCACACACCCTCGGGCTCCACGTCTGCGGGCGGGGCCGACGTGGGCACCTGCTGCTGCTTCTCCATCTGCTCCCGGAACTGCTGCTGCAGCTGCTTCTGCCGGAGCTTCCGCAGCTGAGTGGCCTCGCTCCGGCCCCGCTCTCTGCAACGGGAGGTGCTGCCGTGTTAGCTGACGCATGCGGAGCCAGCAAACCGAGGCCGGGGAGAGGAAAGCCAGGAGCGGGAGGCGGCCCGTACCGGGAGCTGCCTTCTTTATCCCCCACTGTCACCACGTGGGCGTTGTCCGGGTGGCTTGGTCTGCAGGGGGAGGTCCCCTCGGGTGCCGGGGCAGGTCCCAGAGCCATGTGCGGGCGACAGCTCTTATATCTTGCCTGCTCCACAGATGGCTCATAGTCTTCTCTCTTTGCTTTACTCAAATCCATGTCAACAGGCAACTGCCAAGGGAGAAAGGAAAATTTAAAAAACAAAACAACAACAAAAAAACTTTCTCCAACTGCTCATCCCAATAAAACAGACAAACCTTCCACCAGACGAAGAAAACAAAACGAATCCGGACAGAGACAAAAGTCAACTGCAAAATCCTCAGCAAAGCAAGCGCACAGCACACGGGCCCGTGCCCAGCCGGCCAGCCCATGTGGGGGGGACGGGGCGCGTGGCGAGAGGCTGGAGGACACGCCCCATGGGCATCTCAACTGATTCCAGAAAACCCCCTGACAAACATGGACACAACACAGTCAACTGGGACTTTCACCTCAGGCTGATGAACATTCTATGGGAAAAGGTGGCTTTTCCTGAAAGATGAGGAACCAGGCCAAGATGCCTGCCCTAGGGGCCGGTGCCCACAGTGCCAGCTGTCTGCTCAGGCACCGGGGGAGGCAGCGGAGGCTGGCCCAAGTGCTCGTGTCCCTGTGTCCACATGGGAGACCTGGAGGATGCTCCTGGCTCCAGCCTGGCCCGTCAGGAGAGTGAACCAGCGGATGGAAGATCTCTCCGTCTCCTCTGGAACTGCGCTTCATTGGAAAGTCAGATACACAGAGAGGAGGAGAGACAGGAAGATCCGTCTGCTGGTTCACTCCCCAAGCGGCCACAACAGCAGAAGCTGAACCGAACTGAAGCCTGGAGCTTCTCCAGGTCTCCCATGCGGGTGCAGGGTCCCAAAGCTTTGGGCCTTCCTTGACTGCTTTCCCAGGCCACAGGCAGGGAGCTGGATGGGAAGTGGAGCTGGATTAGAACCAGCGCCCATATGGGATCCCGGTGCGTTCAAGGCGAAGACCTTAGCCATTAGGCTATCACGCCAGGCCCATAAATAAATAAATCTTTGAAATCTGCTGTCCCCACTTCTAACTAGCACTAAAGATTCCAACCACAGTGACGAGGCATTACAGAAACTAGAGTAGTGGCGTACACAGTGGGAAGCAGGCTTCATATTGACATGATCTATTTGTTTTTAGGGATTTAATTTATTTATTGAATACACAGGAGAGATCTTTCTCCCATCTATTGGTTTACTCCCCAAATGGCTGCAACAAGCCAGGGGCCAAAATGGACAAAAACCCCATCCAGGTCAGGAGCCATCTTCTACTGCCTCTCCCAGGCACGCTGGCAGGGAGCTAGACTTGAAGTGCAACAGCCAGGATCTAATATGGGATGCCTGCATCTCAAGAGGTGGTTTAATGCCCTGCACCACAAGGTACCCTTACATGATCTTCTGTGAAGACAAAGACTGTAACAGGTGCCACAGCACACTAAACCACCTCCTGCTGTGCCCGCATCCCCTATAGGAGCTGCCTCCGGCTTCACACTGGCCCGCCTCTAGGTGTTGCAGCCATTTGGGGAGTGAATTGGTGGATGGAAGATCTCTTTCTAATTCTACCTTTCAAATAAAAATAAACCTATGGTAATGGAGTACTGGGGTCCGCTATATCCAGATGTGGGGGTATAAGGGAGCATGCATCCCTGCTTCCAGATGAAATATGGACTCCCAGTGAAACCGCTGGACATGTGTAGACAATGGGATGCTGGGCTGTCTGACACTGGCTGTACCAGCAATGTCAGGATACACTTAAATAAGAGACTGGTGGAATTATGATTCCTTACAAAGGACTATACCACTGTAGTAAAATGGGGAAGATCTGTCGGGGGTGGCAGTTTGGGGGAAATCCCAGCCTATACGAAATTGTACCACATAATTAAAAATAAAAATATATTAAAAAATAAATAAATATGTTTTTAAATAAAAAAAAAACCAAATAATTCTAAAAAAAAAAACCACACAACTACCCACATAAGCCCTGCTAGAATAAATGAGTTCAGCAGGGAACAAAACCAAACCAAAACTCAACTGCTTCTCTGTATGTTACTGAGCAATTGGAAAAGGGCAATAAGAAAGCAGCTCTGAGGCAAGCACTGCAGTGTAGCAAGTCAAGCCGCCACTTGCAGTGCCGGCATCCCACAGGGGCACCAGTTCGAATCCCAGCTGCTCTGCTTCTGATCCAGCTCCTTTTTAACACCCTGGGAGAGCAGTGGCGGATGGCCCACGTGCTTGGGTCCCTGCACCCGTGTGGCAGAGCTGCTGCAGCTCCTGGCTCCTGGCTGTGGACTAACCCAGCTCTGGCGAAAGACTCAACCTGGTTCACGAGTGGGAAGGCTCGCTGCTGTTGTAACATTCACACTACCTAAAGGAATTACAAATGGATGCAATTCCTAGAAGGCTGCCAGTGCTGTCAAGGAGGCGAGAACCCGGGCATCCTGGGAGGGCCGCCCCCCAACCTCAGTGTGGGGATCTGAACTGCAGTTCCTCAAACAATGATAGCTAGAACCGCCTCGACCCACGCGCGGGACCCTCTCCCTGCAGCTCAGCCCTCTGAGCCCGGGGCCTGTGGGTGCCCGGGACGGGGGCCAAGCGACCCCCACTTACACCCACCAGCCAAGCCCTTAGTATCTCCGTCCACGCCACCACTGCCCCGCTGCCCCACGCCCCCGGCCCACGCAGGCGCCTCACCTGGCGTGGAAGCTTGTTGAGCGAGCGCAGGTAGTCTTTGTCTAGGATACAGTTTCCCAGTGCGTTCCCAAAGCTCCTGCAGGCGAGGGCACAGTGAGACGGGCTGAGAGCGGCTCTAGGCGCCTAGCAGAGAACACAGGGACCCGACTTTCCATACTTACCTTTAGCTGAGAGAGAGAGAGCGAGAGAGCGAGAGAGCGAGAGAGCGAGAGAGCGAGAGAGCGAGAGAGAGAGAGAGAGAGAGAGAGAGAGAGAGAGAGAACTCCCTTTTGCTGCTCACTCCCCCACGCCGGGAGCTCAGCAGGCAGGAAGCCAGCTCGTACTGCCCCCCAGCAGGCTGCTCAAGGGGCGAACCCATACACTCCAGGATGGGACGGGGGTGTCTGGTCCCATCCTGGTCCCTTGGAGCTTTTGTACAAATTGCCTGTCCAGGGCAACGGGGAGAAGCCAGCGGGGAATGTCCCTGGCGGAGACACAGTGACCGTGGGAGGACCAAGAAACCCCTCCCAGAGCCGCACCGCCACACCGGGGGCAGGTCCTCGTCCCCAGGGCAGTGGCCCACGGGGGCACCCTCCGCTGCTGCCCACGCCTCGGGCTGTGCACGTGGGACTCACACAGCTGGACTGGGGCATGCACATCTGGGCTCTGGCGACTCGGTGTGCTTCAGTGCTAAGGCAGCTGTGGCCCAGGACACCGTCCAACTGCAGAGCTAAGTGAGCCACACTGCAGACACTGCCATCCCAGGAGGCGAGTCCAAGAGGGAGTGAGTGCCCAGCGTCATGCCCCCCACGTCCCCCACCCCACCCCAGGAGCCAGAAGAAGGGGCGGGGACCCGAGGCTGCAGGCCTCTCACAGGAACCCAGACCCACACGTCCTCCCCCAAGCCTGCTCCAGCTGCCCGTGCTTACCTGAGTGCCCGCTTCAGCCCATCGGTCACGGCCTCCTTCCTAGCCTTCTCCAGTGCCAAGGCCTTGGACTTGAGGCCCTCACTAATTCCGTAGCCCACGTCTTCATGATAGGAGCCATCCTGGGGCGGGGGGGTAGAGAAGGCGGTGGGGGGGCAGGCTCTGGTTCCACGGCACCCTCCCCCCCCGCCTCCACAGTGGCACTGGCCCTACATCTCCAGCATCCTGCAGACCCCTGCGGGCCACGAAGGCATCAGGGCCACTCTCCCAGCTCATCCCTCGGCCCCAGCCCGACCATGCAGCATCACTCCAGGGTGCGGAAACCCCTCCCACACCATTCAACGGGCCACCTGAGCTGCGGCAGGTGTGGCCTCCAAGGACCGACAGGCAGTCCTTGCCCAGGTCAGGCCGCACCCGCCTCGGCCTTCAGCCAGAGTGAAGGACCAGGGCGAACTGTCGGTGGTGGACAGAGAATGAACTGTAACGAGTGATGGCCGCGCTGCATCTCGGAATGGAGCTTGAAAATGCTCCAATATGGGATACTGTAACAAGCCTCTTCCCATATGCAGCCATTTCACTTATGTGAACACAGTTTTTCAAGACTTCAGCAAAATACAGCTCAGGGCACCGGCCGCCATCCTGCAGCATCTCTCACGTGCCCCTGGGAGCAGCAGGCAAGGCCTCAAGTGCCCACGTCCCGGCCACCCACATCGGGTCCCTGGACCGAGTTCCTGGCTCCTGCCTTCCACGTGACTTTAGCCATTGCAGACATTTGAGGAGAAAACCAAAAAAAAAAAAAAAAGGGAGCTATTTACATTTCTGTCTTTCCAATAAAATGAATAATCTTTTTAATTTTAAAAACTATATATATGTCAAAACAGAAGTAACTGAATGTTCATAAAAGAAATAGTCAACCATGATACATAATTAAAGACCAACACCACAATCTCATTAAAACTTCCACTGTCCACCTAATTTTATTTTTTATTTTGATTATCAAAATCTCGATGTGTGATGCCGTGTCTGTCCAGTGTAACTGTCTGGCATTGACTGGTGTGTAACAGTAACTGCCATTAATAACGCAAGCCAGAAAAAGTCTCTTCATATTTGTAGCCGTAAGGTCACTGGGAATTCACCCCAAAACTAACTTCCTGTACACGCGTTTGCACACATGTACACGTGCAAGCACAGAAGCCCAATGCAATTAATAAAGCTTTTGGGGGGAGGGTTGTGGGAGGAGCGGGGGAAATCCAAGCACCTATGGAACTGTATCACATAATACAATGTTATTAACAATTAAAAAATAAAGACATAAAAAATAAATAAAAATTTAAAAATTAAAAAATATATATATATTTTTAAAAAATAAATAAATAAAGCTTTTGGCCCCACGTGTACATTAGCATGAAAGCCGGCAGGAGGCAGAATGGAAGCAACTTCAGACAAGGAAGGAACAACGCGAAACTTCTAATGACTGAACACCAGCTTAGTTATGCATTTTTTTTTTCAAATGAATGACTGGATTTAATCCCCTATGGTATTCAGATTCCACTGGCACATTTTTTAATCAGATTTATTTTAAAATATAAAACTTTACAATACGTAAAATGAAAAAAAAAAACACCCTTTGACCTAGTTAACAGAGTGAGGGCTGTAAACTTATAAATGTGAACAGGGATGGACCGGAAGTCCCCCCGGAGCGGATGCAGTGCCCCCCGAGACCCCCAGCCCTTGCAGACAGCGCCCTGCTCACCTTCAGCTGCACCCTCACGAACGCACACACGCCCACGTAGAACTTGCCGTTGTTGAGGTCCACAAAATCTGGGGTTGAGAAAGAGACCGGGCTGAGTTGAGCCTGCTCCCCGGCCCGGCCCGCCTCCCCGCGACCCCCCAGGATCCCCCAGCCACAGAACTCTGGCAGCGGACACAGGACAAGGCCCCAGGGGTGAGGGGCAGCTGGACTCACCCACGTTCTGCTGCGTGACCGAGTGGGCCCAGCCGTTGTAACCAAACATTTCATTGGCCAGGCTGATGACCTTGTGGCCCTCGATGTAGCATACCTAGAAAACAAAGCTTCTTCTTTTTGGGAAAAGGCTATGCTAAATTCCCCATGATCTTTAAATATGAACTCAAATTAACATAATTTATTCTTATCTAGATGCTTTGGCAAGAAGTGCTCTTAAACAGCACAAAGAAACTCCCAGTGGACGAACTGCAAAAATCTTACAGGATGAAGGGGGCGAGGACGCTCACAGCAAAGATACCTTCTCGCACTTCACTCAGTGAACTTGCCAAACTCAGTTTCAAAAAAATATACATAAATCTCAGGTGGACATATTTGACGGAACACCAGAAACATACATTAGAAACAAATGGCAAAGGAAACACTGCTTAAAAATGCAAGAACCCAAACATGATCATTATCCAAGGCTTCTTCCCATGACCATGAAGGCTGGACCCTGGCCCAGCCCCGAGCACCCAGCACCCAGCACCCAGCACACAGCCCCGAGCCCACAGCACCCAGCACACAGCCCCGGGCACCCAGCACACAGCACACAGTACCCAGCACACAGCCCCGAGCACACAGCGCACAGCACACAGTACCCAGCCCACCACACACAGCCCCCAGCCAGAGCCATGAAGGAATCGCAAGACTGACACAGGCCCCCAGCACATGGGCACCCACAGTTTGGGCTCAGACCCCGTCCCTACCTTCTGGCCTCCCCCGGCCATGCGGCTGCTGATGTACTCCGGGCCCAGCCTCTGCCTCAGGGCGCTCTGGATGGCCTGGTACTCCTCCGCTGTGTACTGGCACTGCAGCCCGAGAGGAAAAAGGGGTTAACGTGGCCACCACAGCTGAGACTGGGAGTCCCCAACGACTGATGTGAGGACCCCTTAAGGCCCTACAAAGGTATGGGCACCTCAGTGCTGGGAATTAAATCCACTGGCTCAGGCACTGAACCATCGACGCTCCCTTGCTGGGGACTGAGTCGCACCTCTTCCAGTCCAGCTTCCTGGCAATGCACACCCTGGGGGGCTGCAGGGGACAGCTTAGCTGCCAGCCTGGGACACCCCAAGGGGACTCCTGGCTCCTGGCTTCAGTCTGGCCTGTCCTGTTGGAGGAATCTGGGGGGTGAGATGCAACAGGTGGAAGTCCTATCCTTCTGCCTTTCAAATTAAGTGATTAAAGAAAGCAAGAAGGGCGGGAGGGAGGAAAAGAAAAGGCTTATTTATTTCCTTGTGAGGCAGACAGGGCAAAGGCCTGCCATTCCCTGGCGCATTCACCAAGTGGCCTCCGTGGGCGGGTGTGGGCTGGGCCAAAGCTAAGAGCCTGGAACTCTGTCCATGTCTCCTACGTGGGTGGCAAGGGCCCAAGCGCTTAGGCCATCTTTTCTTTTTCTGTTCAAGATTTTATTTTATTTTTATTGGAAAGGCAGATATACAGAGAGGAGGAGAGACAGAGAGGAAGATCCTCCGTCCGATGATTCACTCCCCAAGTGAGCGCAACAGCCGATCCAAAGCCAGGAGCCTGGAGCCTTTTCCAGGTCTCCCACGTGGGTGCAGCATCCCAAGGCTTTGGGGCCATCCTCAACACTTTTCCCAGACCAAAAGCAAGGAGCTGGATGGGAAGCGGGGCCGCCGGGATTAGAACCAGCGAACATATGGGACCCCAACGCATTCAAGGAGAGGACTTTAACCATTAAGCTATCGCGTTGGGACCTTGGAACATCTTCTGTCGGTCTCCCACATGCGTTTGTCCAGAGCTGGACCAGCAGTGCAGCAGCCAGGACTCCGACAAGCATTCCTAAGGGATGCTCGCATCACAGATGGTGGCTTAGCCCACTGTGCCACAATGCCAGCCCCAATAAACATTTTGTAAAATGAAGAACTCGAAACTAACCAACTTTTTTTTCTAATTTCATTGAAAGACAAAGTTGACAGAGAGAGAGAGAGAGAGAGAGAGAGAGAGAGAGAGAGCGAGCTTCTCCATCTGGCTGGTTTATCCCCGAAATGGTCGCCTTCCACCACGTCCAGACACCGTAGCCAGGAGCTGGATGGGAAGTTGAGCAGCGAGGACCAACATCGCTGTGAAGGTGTGGAGTATTGGGGCTTTAGCACCAGACCCACTCAGAAGCCTCTGAAGTAGGCCTACAGCCCCAGGAACAACGCTAACATCACAGGCTGCAGCTTCCAGAAAACCACACGACAGCCACTCAGGCTGGCAAGTGTGAAGAGCGCCAACAGCATCTCAGGGTTTCTCTCTCTCTCTCGCTTTTATTTATTTTGGGCCCAGAACCATAGCCTAGTGGCTAAACTCCTCACCTTGCATGCCCTGGTATCCCATATGGGTGCCAGTTCATATCGAGGCTGCTCCACTTCCCATCCAGCTCCCTGCCTGTGGTCTGGGAAAGCAGTGGAGGATGGCCCAAAGATTTGGGACCCTGCACTCACGTGGGAGACTGCAAAGAGGCTTCGGGCTCCTGGTTTCGGGTCAGCTCAGCTCTGGCCATTGCAGCCACTTAGGGAGTGACCCAGGTCTTACGACCTTTGTCTCTCCTTCACTATGTAAATCCGACTTTCCAATAAAAATAAATAATCTTTAAATTTTGTTGTTGTTGTTCTTTTTAACTGGAAAGGCATATTTATAAAGAGAAAAAGATCTTCCATCCACTGCTTCACTTCCCAAATGGCCACAAAGGCCAGAGGTCAGGATTTCTGGGGAATATCTCCAACCTCACAAACTCCGACAGGGTCCCCCAGAGCCTGTGACCGCAGCTAGCGTACTGCTGCCTTAGCTGGACCACCACCCTAACAGACCCTCCTTGAGGGGAGGTGTTGTGGGCCAGCAGCCCGGGTGAGCATCGCTTTGAAAGCCGAGCACTCCACTTCCCAGCCAGCCTGGGAAGACGGCCCAAGTGACTGGACCCCTGTACTCCCACGGGAGTCCCGTGTCCTGCTGCAGTCATCTCTCTCTCTCTCTTTCTCTCTCTGTAGCTCTGCCTTTCAAAGACATCCGTCTTGGGGATGGCACTCTAGCAAGCCAAGCCTCCTTCTGTGGTGCCCACACCCCAGATGGGTATCGGGTTTGAGTCCCACCTGCTCCAATTGCAATCCCTTTCCTTGCTAATGCACCTGGACAGGCAGCCGCAGAGGACAGGCCAAGTCCTTGGGCCCCTGCGCCTGCGCACGAGAGCCAGAGAACTGCACGGATCGGTCATGTGGGGAGTAAACTGGCTTCCTCTCTCTCTCTACTCTACCTTACAAAGATACGTATCTTAAAATTACCAAAAAAATAAAAAAGAAAGAAAAAGAAACCTTCTTGAGCACAACTAGGGGGTCATGTCAGGCACTGGGACTGGCAGTTAAGCTACCTGCACCCAGGCAGGCCTCTCGACACACCACATAACATAACTGACCGTGTGGGTTTGAGTCCCAGCTCCACCTCCAGTCCCAGCTCCCCGCTCTCGGGCCTCCTAGGAGACAGCACCGACACCGAAGTACCTGGGCAGCCTCACCCAGGGCAGGAGCCCTGCGCTTTTGGCTGCTGGCCGCATCCTGGTCCAACCTTGACTGTTATGGGCCCGTAGGGAAAGAATCCAAACAGGGGAGTTTGGGTGGAAAACACAGAATTTCCTTTTCCATGCCCACAATTTCTGTATAAAGAACAAGGTACCCGTAGCTTAGGGGACCTCTAAGAAGGAAAAAGGGGTGGCGGGTGAGTGGAGCTCCAGGGAAATTGGAAGACCTCTGCTGCCCAGGGATTTCCGGTGTCCTGTGGAATTGCATTCCATAAGAATGGGCTAGCTCTCCATAATCTAGATGGATTCCCATCAAATGGGACTCCCCTTTAGTCTCCTGGTACCCCAAGGTTCACCACAGATTCCACCAATGACTGCCTCCAAAGCGGAAAGAAAGCAGGTGCTAAGGGCGGGTGCCCCAGCAGGGTGCCCACACACGGCTGCCCCACGCCTGCCTCCCACAGCTGTGATGCTTACCTGGCCAAAGCACAGCACGGAGGGAGAATGGGCGCCTTGTGCTCCAGGTGCGGCGTGCCCAGGCCCAGCCATGGCAACTGCTCAGTCTCTGCAAGGAAAGCAGGATCTCAGAGAAGGCTTGGAGGCTCTGCTCACCCCTGGGTGCGGCACCCACAGGTGGAGCCTGCGGGCTCACTGCACACCCTGGACTCCCCAGGACGGCCCACCACGTGACCCACATGATGTGGCTGCCCTGGTGCGGTGGGCTCGGGGCCTGCCAATCACTGCCAGCTTCTAGCTTCCTGCTACCATTTTCACTGTTGTGGCGATTTTTGCAATGAGAATGTATTATATTTAACCTTGCAGGGAGGGGATCCAATTTACCAAAGCACGAAGGAGAGACACCCAGTTTACCACGCTAGAAGCAGGGGCTTTGGGAAGAGGCAGATCTATCAATTTGCTTGATTGTGGTAATCTTTTCACAATGTCTATACATCAAAAAATCATGCTGTGTACATTTAAAATTGCTTCAATCATCCTTCAGTAAAGTGGGGGAACAGGAATCAACTGAGACCATTATTAAAATTTAAAAAATACAACGACTTCTACAAGACTGAGAAGAAATAGAAGCTGGGCCAACATTGTGCCATGAGTTCAGTCATGGCCTGTAGTACACATGAGCCATGGCTGGAGTCCTGGCTGCTTCATTTCCCTGCCCGCTCCCTGCCCAGTTCCCTGCCAGCTCCCTACCCAGCTCCCTGCCTGCTCCCTGCCAGTTCCCTTCCCTCTCCCTGCCCAGCTCACTGCCAACTCCCAGCCAGCTTCCTGCCTGCTCGCTGCCAGCTCCCTTCCCTCTCCCTGCCCAGCTCCCTGCCCGCTCCCTGGGAGAGCAGTAACACCTCAAGCATGAAGTGTGGGAGCCCCTCTTGCCCACACAGCAGACAGAAAACTCCAGGTTCCCGGTTCCTGCCACCCCTGTCCAGTCTGTGTGGCCATAGGAGGAGCAAATCAGGAGACGGAAGATCTCTCACTCCCTTTCTCCTCCCTCGCCTCTACAAATGCTGGCACTGTTTCTTGAGCCCTCTCCACACAGGGCTCCCTGGCCTGACTTCCACGTGCCAACACTCACACCACATCTGACATGCACGAGCTTTCTTGGGCTCCAGACACTATTCTGTGCCTTTCCATGGCAAACCAGAAATGCCCAAGAACCAATGCCTCTTGGGAGTGGTTCTCAGCTGCTGGAGGAACTGCCATTTAAGTATAGCAGATTTCTTCACTTTCAGTTATCTGCAAGATAGGGACTAGACACACATCTCCCACTCAGTGCTTTACTTCCCAGATGGCCACCACAGCCAGGCCTGGGCCCCAGGAAGGAGCCGACTGGACCTCCCACTTGGGCAGCCAGGACCCAGCTCTGTGAGCCATCACCTGCCAATTCCCAGGGCGCGCATGAGCGGGATGCCAAACTGGGCATCTCACAGACTACCCCAAATTATCAATACAAAATTAGACATTAAGATGCTGAAAAAATGAGAAAGCCATTTGAAAATCTCTAACATGCAAACACACAGCAAGAGATAAAAGAGAAATGTTTTCAAAATAATGTCTCCATTGGCATCACTGGGACACACTGGTTTAGGCACCACCTAAGGGTCCCCATATGGGCAGCAGTTTGAGTCCCAGCTCTACCCCCTTGCAGTTCAGCTCCCTGCTAATACTCCTGGGGCAGCAGCAGATGGCCGACATATGTGAGCCCCTGCACCTAAGCAGGAGACAGGACGAAGCTCCTGTATTGGCTTGGCCCAAGCCTGGCAGTTGCAGTGTTTGGGGAGTGAGCCAGCAGAATGGTGATTCCCTGCTGCCATCTCTCTTTCTCAATTCCTATCTTTCAAACAAAATAAAATCAGGGTTATGCTGTGACATATCTCCATCTTATATGCAAAATACTTCAGTATGTTGAGAGAGTGTTGTGGTACAACAGGCAAAGCCGCAGCCTGAAATACCAACATCTCATATGGACGCTGGCTGAGGTCCCAGCTGTTCCTTTGCCCATCCAGCTCCCTGCTAACGGCCTGGGAAAGCAGTGGAGGATGGCCCAAGTGCTTGGATCCCTGGCTCACATGGGGGACCCAGAAGAAGCTCCTGGCTTCAGGCTTCAGATCAGCCCAGCTGATGGCGGGTCAGGCTGAGCTAAGATGCAGCAACCATGAGTGTGCACAAGACCTGGATGGGATGCAGAAGAAGCCACACTAGATGATTGTATTTGCCGGCACGAACCGGGACTGGTGGCAGGCCTGACAGGGTTATTGGGGGTGTCCTCAACTACAGCTTCCACTGGGTCACTTGAGAGTTGGGTCTGGGGTGGAACTGACCACACAGCTGCACTCACTGGAATGTGCATTGGCTGGTACAGGTCACAGACCAAACCTGACCCTGCACTAGCTGGCACAAACAACAATCAAGTCTGAGGTCACCCCCGGTAGGGTTTCTTGAGGAACTCCCCAACCAAATCACTGGACTCAGATCCTGGTCACAGTGACAAATCACAGGATATTTTTTATCTGACTTTGAAGTGTGTTTGGACTATGCCTTCTCAGTTGGCTCTGATGCCTGTGCAGTGGACAGCATGCCCAGATACACAGGGGGGACATAACAGCCAGCAGAGGATGCCAAGTCTCCCATCAGAGGATGGAAAGCAGAACAGATTGAACAACTGTCTTGGCCAAGCTTTGCAGCATGTTCCTGGGTCTGTGAATGCACTAAGGTAGACTTGGTCAACCAGTAGACCTTGCAAAGATTTTCTCAACCCTGGAGCAATGAAACCAACACGTCACAACTCCCAAAACTACAAGTAACACCCTTAGAACACTCTTGTCTGCATTGGACTGCTCCCAGTTCCGAGGTGCTGATGCAGTTTGGCAGAGAGAGTCCTCCTCCCCTCCCCCTACTCTGCAGATATCGGAGTAAAAGGAAAAAATTGGAAACCTTTGTCCCACCCTCCCTCCTCCATACTTCGACCTTCCCCACTCTAATGAGCGGCCCACATGGGCATGCATCAGTCTTAACTATGTAAGCAATATTAAACATAAATAAAATAATAAATATCAAAAAATGATAAATTTGTCAAATCAAAATATAAAACTCAGGACAACTCTAAGAAAATGAATAGGCAACCACACACACACAAAAAAAGCTATAAAAGGAATTACAGCAACTCAGTGTTAAATGACAACCCACTCCGCAGTGGGCAGAAGAGGTGGGCTCTTAGCCCAAGGGCTAAGACATCCCTGTTCAAGGGCCTGCGTTTGATTTCTGGCTCTGCTCTCGACTGGAGCTGCTTTGAAATGCAGACCCCAAGAGGGAGCAGGTGACGGTCCAAGCACCTGGGTTCCTGTAAAGCACATGGGTGGAGCGCCCAGTCCCCAGCCCCAGCCCAGACATCTGGAGAGTGAGTCGGGGGATACGAGCTGTGCCTCTAGTTTGGTTTGGTTTTGTGTTTTGTTTGTTTTTTTAATGAAGCGAGTAAAAGATCTGACCAAACTCGTTAGAAAGGAACATACACAAGTGTCAACAAGAGCATTAGCAATCAGGGACTAAGATGAAAACCCTACCGACATAACACTCAACCAGAAAGACTCAAAATAAAAGTGACACCACCAGAGCTACCCAGGACATGAACAACTGGAAACCTCTAACACTGCTGGCAGGACAGAAGTGACAAACCCACTCGGCTGTGGGCCTGGAGTTGTGGTGCAGCTGGTCAAGTGACCATGTAGGGTCCTGGCTGCTGCACTTCTAATCAGGCCCCTGATCCACGTGCCTGGGAAAGAGCAGCAGAAGATGGCCCCCGGTGTCTGGGCCCTGCCATCCATGTGGGAGACTACGATGGAATTCCAGGCCCCTGGCCTGGCCAAGCCTCAGCCATAATAGCCATTTGGGGAATGAACAGCAGAAGAAAGATCTCAATCTCTCTCTCTACTTCTCTTTCTCCCTCTCTCTCTGCCTCCTCTGACACTCTGCCTTTCAAATAACTAAATGGATCTTAAAAAAAAATGCACTCAGCTGTTAACACAGGCTATCCCTCAAGAAAAGAGGAAAGGCCAGGCCAGCATTGTGACACACTGAGTTAGGCTGCCACCTACAGGGCCAATATCCTATCTGGGTGCCAATTCAAGTCCCAGCAGCTCCACTTCGGATCCAACTCCCTGCTAACGCACTGGGTAAAGCGGCAGAGATGGCCTCTACATACAGAGACCTGAGAGAAGCTTCTGGCTTTGACACGGCCCATTGTGGCCCTGAGGAGAGCAAACCAGCGGATGGTCTCTCCTCCATGCATCCTGACTTCCAAATTAAAATAAATTGGGGCTAGTGCCAAGGCTCAGCAGACTAAGCCATCACCTTTAAACACCAGCATCCCATACAGGCATGGGCTCGTCCTGGCTGCTCCACTTCCCATCCAGCTCCCTATTTCTGGCTTGGGAAACCAGTCTAGGGTGCCCAAAACCTTGGGACCCTGGACCTGCACGGGAGACCCAGAAGAGGCTCCTGGTTTCAGATCAGCTCAGCTCTGGCCATTGAGGCCATATGAGGAGTGTACCAACGGATGGAAGATCTTTTTGTGTCTCCCTCTCTCTGTAAATCTGCCTTTCAAGTGAAAATTAATTAATCTTTTAAAAAGTAAATAAATAAATCGGGGCTGTTGCTATGGCATAGCAGGCTAAGCTTCCACCTACAGTGCTGGCATCCCATATGGGATAAATCTTAAAAGTTAAGTTTAAAAAAAAAGAGGAAAAGTGACTCCAAAAACAAACTAGGCTATTCTTAAATCTACTGGCTCAGTCATTCAGTAGCTATGAGAAATCCCACAGAGCATTCATGTCTCCTACCCAGGAGCGTGGGCCGTCCTCTGCTGCTTACCCAGACGAGCAGGAAGCTGCAGCAGAGTGAAGCAGCCAGGACTCTGTAGGATGCCGGCACTGCAGCCAACACCCCCCACCCCGCCACCTGGTCTCTTCTATTTTAGTCTGTAAAGATCTCTCTACCTGAGTTACGGAGATGGAGAACATAAAAACTAAGAGATCTTCCATCCACCGGCTCACTCCCCAA